GTTAATGAATTCGTTCGTCCTCAAAAGCCCATCAAACTCATTTTTCCTGCGGACCTTTTGAAGTGCGTATTACCAGTTAGGAACTTAGATCCTATCTCATTCTTTTTAAGGACATTGAAGGAGCGAGGATACCCCAGGGCGCAAGATCCAGAGTAACATCTCTATTAGTGCACTGGTCTAGCTGTACAAGAAATCCATGTATTGTATCAAATCAGATCGTAAATGTACATCTTTGCATCTACTTGAGAATACCTATAACTTAAGCGGCGAAAGTGCGTTGGCACGTTCTGAAGATTACCTTTTACGAGTATGTGCACTTTTGGATGATAAGTAACATTATAAACATTCGATTTATTAGCTCTGAATTTAGACAATCGGACATGTACAATGATTAATAGTACACAATACAACTATGTACATTTCATTATGAAAATTTTCCTTGAGTCACCCGGTCCAGTTCGTTGAGGAACTGAGTAATATGAGGGCTCCGCCACGATAGTTTATTGTACACATGAATGACCATTTGACCTTCTATATCACTGACGTCGAGTCTCACATCACTGTTCAATAGCGGCACGGTCTAAAGCATACCCAAAACGGAGGACATCATGGCGAGAATATCATGAAGTAAGTTATAACGAACCTTAGCAATCTGCGCAGTTTTCGAAACATCCCGGAGCAAAAACAATGAGAAAATCGAATTATTGTTTTGGGATTAGAAGCATACATCTCGGCGTCCAATCTTCTCAGTTTCCTCACGTGAACTTTCGTGGAATACCTCAGTAGCAACAATAGTTTTCTGACGAGGCTCATAAGAAAAGCAGGTCGGTCGAAAAAATTAGTTCTTACCTCGACCGTGAAAGTTTTGAGCGTGTTCTGATCCATTGTTAGTTGTTTGTAAGAGTCCTGAGCGAACACGAGTGGGCAAGGGCTGACAATCTTATGAGCCTATTTACCTCGTGAAAGCAGATCGCAGGTAGAGGGAGGGTGTCAAGTCCTGGGATGCAATGCATATGCGAAGGTTTGATATATATACGCTTGCTCCCACCACGTGGATCGCAGCGATATCGATTACAGTGTACATGTCGCGATTTGTATCACGAATCATGATCATTTGTGTCGTTCTGCCGTACGAGCAAAAAAAACGAGGTCAATAGAAGGAAGGAAGGAATATTAAACGCCTTGGTCCAAGATCTGAACGCCGCACAGTCCGGGGAGTATCCTAGCGTGGCACCTCACCATCGTCCCAAGGCAGGACTTCGACGAGCTCGCACCTGGCTCTGGAGCCGTTGCTGCAGACCTAGGCCCCACCCCAAACGCCCGTCTATCGTTACTAAACCTGTTACAGGCCCAGATATGAGAAAGTTCGTTGGTGGCTTACTTTTCCCCAACAAAACTTGTCTTCCAACGATAATTCCAACCGTGATCCATGTACAAGCTACGACTATAGTCCACAGGCCGCTATCTCTCAGTCGGGATACGCTTCTTCCCCAATCGCACTAAGAACGTGGAGGGGAGTGTCGATGTTGTCGATGAAGTTTCTGTTGGGGTGTTGGATCCTGGCGTGCGGGAGCAAGAGTTATCGGCCTTGGAGTCAGAAGAATGAATGACGGAAGAGAGGGTGGTGGAAATGCAGGCGCTGTCGATGCAGCCGGTCGAAATCACAAATTCCATGTGCCCGAAATCTGACGCGTAGGAGAGGGAACTCCCAGTTCCAGAGCCAGAGTCTTCCCTAGAAGTTCCGCCGACATTGTCTTCTTCGATTGTCCATGAGATTGCCCCAGCGCTTTCTCCCTCCTCATACGTTAAAAGACATTCATTTGTTCGAAGGAGTTTCGGCGATGTACATGTGGGGCATCAGACGTTACAGAGGGTGTAAATGGTGGCGGCGTCGGCTGGCGTCGGTGGAACCTACAGAGTGGAATTTTGGGGCACAGAGCAGGCTGCGATCTAATTGCGCCTATGCACGAGTTGTACTCGAATACAAGACGGTCTAGGGACGAACGAAAGGATCGTGTATTATAACGTAAGGTAATTAAGGAAAGGCCTCACTAGTCATGTGACATTCAACTCACCTCTATCGCTTCGCTCATGATCAAACTCAAACTTGGCACCACCTACGGAGTCGAACTCGGTAGCGGCCAAAGTCTTAGCTCTACAACAACTGTGGCCTTCTAGGTCATCGTGGACTTCTACTGGAAAAGGCACTTCGCAAACTTACATGCTGTCTAAATTTTCAGCTAAATTGGAACGAACACTAGGAAGGCGGGTAGCATTGGGTGACATCTGGATCGCCAGTGGAACTGGCAGCGACGTATACTTTTTGAGGTTTCAATTTGGATCTTTGCCTTTAGCTTTGTTTCATTCAAATGTCGCGCTTTCGTTCAGGCTTTTCATTCTGTATCACTAATGCTACTCGAGTCATGTCTTCCTGGCCGTCTTGATTCCGAGCAATCTTGAAGGGATCGTCGACTCAGCTATTGACCATACAGAATGCGAGAAAAGAAGGTGCAGTGTTTGAGGTATTCGTCCTGTCCGTATGAGAACTTTCTCGTGTACTTGCGCTTAGTTCTGCCATGATTCAACACTCACGCGATACGAGGTGAGGGTCAAGAACGCGCGGTCAGCTCCCTTGTTTCTCTCATTCACCTTCTCTTTGTGGTTCTCTTGCAACCTGCGACACGAACCGCGCAAGAAAGACCGGCACCAGCTTCTAGCAAAAATTCTGGAAGCACCAGTTCTGCTGGAGTTATCAGTCATCAATGTGCCTCCAGTCCCACTAGAATCCATCATTCCAGCTGTTGCTAAGCCTCCCATGCAGTACCTATACACCTGTGACATTGAAAATTTAACATTGTTACTACAGTGAAGAAGTTCCCTAGCACACCCACTGAACCTCCGTCTCTGTCTGGTTTGGTATTGTTGGCAGACCGGAATGGGGCTATGCACTACGCGTGTTAGTACGATGCCCTTATCCTAGGTCTGTCATTGTCAGTGTACCGCCTTCACTTAACGGGCGGGAATTAAATTGATGGATAGTAGGGAAGCGGATAATCTGTGGCTTGACTAGGAGGAGGAAGATGAGGTTTGAGATGGACCAGTAATCAAGGGGAATAAAAATTCGGATAAGACTAACGCTATAAACGATGGGAAGAGTGCAGAGAGTACTGCCACCATCGCAAAGCGACAGGTGATTGGCACTGAGCGCGCGAAATCCGAGCTCCGCGCTATCAGCGCCTCTATCCATCGCTCCCGCCACTTTCTCTTTAACCTGCGCCTTGTCTCGCGCCGTCCCTCAACGCTCCAACGTCTCGCCTCTCTCAACACTCTCACGTCCCGCATATTCCAACACTGTAACGTCCCGCCTTTTGTCCTGTTCTCCCGCGCCTATCCGCCCCTCCCCAATTTTGCTCCTCATCTCCACACAACCCTGATCTCTACTTCCACTCGTCTATCCGTTCCCTCGCGACTTCGGTAGATGACACCACGATCCGCTGAGCAATTGCGTGCCTTGTACGCTTCTCGAAGAGCGTGCGGCGTATCGTTATCCGACGGCCCAGGTTTCCTATACGCGTTCGTTGACCATGGCGATCTGTGGAAAATCGGGATGTCCGCCAATTACGAGCGACGGAGAGCCGAATGGGACCGCCAGTGCCCGAGCATTGGCAGAATTTGGCTGCCACCCTTGCGCGTTCCGAGGAGGAGGAGATCTGGTAATCATTTGTGCTATCTCCTCTGAACGTGCTCATCCCTCTCAAGAATCTCTAGCCCATATTCTACTGGAGCTAAAGTGCCTTGATAGACCTCGCCTCTGGTGCACACGATGTACGTATTTCTTATTTACTATCACTCTATCTTAGTGTCTACCTCAATTAGGTGGTAGGAATCACATTGAAAAATTCACCTTCCTTGGAAACTGGAGACGCGTTTGGCGAAGGAAAATTCGGCCAGTGCTTGTGCGCGCTGCATCTTTATAAAGGTGCGTTTTTTTCTTTCTACGCTCGTTAATCTACTAACTGACAACTTCGCAGACTTGAATAGCTATAAATTTCACTACGTACACATTGATATATACTCTACCTAGTTGATATATAACCCAGTACGGCCAACAGATGTGCCTTCCAAATTCCTCCAAATGCCCATGGCCCCCAAGATAAGTCTTTCGTATAATCATTATACATCATCCTACTAACAATAATATGTGCCTAGCTCATATCTCTCCCTCCCACCCTACCCTCCTCCCACCCTACCCTCGCATGAATTAATTATCAAGACAGATGTACATACATATTACCTGTGCAAATGAATCGAATCTCAATCTCTAAGTCACTCCCGAAATCAGTAGACTCTCACGACATCCCGACATCAGCGACATCCAAACGTCCCGATATATCGATGTCGGATACGTCCCGACGTCCCGACGTCCCGACATCGGGTCACCATAAGCTGGGCGAGCTTATTTTGAAAAAGCGCATGCTTTGCGCGAGGCTATTTATATGTGAAAATTCTGAATTATTTCTGGTAGAATATTGGGCCACTATCTATACTAAGCTCTCAATTTTCTCTGTATTTCCTCCAACAGCTTTCAATGGAATAATTTTGGATAAACGGTCCCCGAATAGATTGAAAAATCGGCTCGCATTATGTCAAAATAGGATTGTGAATATTAATGGTAGGTTTTTCATATAAATTGCAGTATATTAGTACCATAACATGCAAACAAATTGTGAGCAAATATTAACAATTTTCGGGGCTCGGTAATCTGAATAATTTTGTACCAAAGCTCACTATAAAACCAACCTTTCGGTCGCGAGAAAATCGGCTAATCCCCGCAGTGTCACATATGTATATTCTCGCTCTCTTTCAATACATACAACCGATGCACATGATTATACCAACTGCTACTAATTGGCTTCTTATCTTTGGAAACTCTCTTAGAATTCCTTCGTTTCGTGAAGCTTAAAGTCGTAGTCCTCCATCGGTTGCTTCCGTATCCTGAAATGTCGAAGCCAGAAGAAGAGCAAGTCTTCAACGTGGAAGATCCAGCGGGAGATGTAAACATTGAAGATTCTGACCAACGTCTCATGAAGCTGGGTTACAAGCCAGAATTCAGGCGTGAAATGTCTCTCTTGGGAGTCCTTGGAATCTCGTTCTGTGCGATCGGTATCCTCACGGGCTCAAGCGCGGCATTTCAGGCCGGTTTATTCTCTGGAGGTCCACTGGGTAAGCTCTCCGTGCTTTCAAATCAGTGAAGTAAATGGAAAATGAAATTCCCATGTAAGGTTTATTCTGGGGATGGAATGTGAGGATACTCTGATAGAGTTCAATTTTCGTGGTTCAACATGTTCTACAGATTTGTTCATTCTTCATGCTCCTCATTGCCTTGAGCCAAGCCGAAATCTGCAGCGCATAGTGGGTGGATATCTCTATATACGAAGATAATTCTGATGAGGATGGAGGTTGTCCAGTCCAACGATGGGTGGATTGTACTTTTGGGTATCAAAACTTAAGCCTGATTTCCCTGTTCTTGCCTGTAAGTTCACTCGCAAATCTTGACGCAATTTTGCTAATGCCGGTCTTACAAAAGATTGCACGGGTTGGATATACGCTATTGCTATGAATTTGACAGGGACTTCAGGGAACCTTACGTATAACATGGTTCAATTGCAACTCTTTGGCAAAATTTCTAAAGATGTTTGTACAGTGTTGCGCTCTTTATAGCTTCCCTTGTCGAAGTAGGGTCAGGACGCACACTGACCCGAGTACAAATAGCAGCTATTGCTTGGGGGATTAACATCCTGAGTGGCGTAATTAACACCATCGGCACAAAGGCGATCGGGAGGATGAGCACATTCAACATTTGGTGGACACTTGGGGGAACATTCGTTCTTGTCATAACTCTTTTAGTCAAGGCCCCAGTGAAAGTAATGCATTCATAGGATGCCAAATACTTTATTCTATTCTCCAGATCTGACAAAATAAATCTGCAGAACTCTGCAGAGTTTGTCTTCACAGATTTAGAAAAGTGCGCTAATTCTCTTTTATACATCGCACATGTATCGTTGATTGTTCCTAAGCTTTACAGGTTGGGGTTCGAAAGGTTTTGTAGTACTTCTTGGTTTCCTCCAAGTAAGTATCGGGTCTATTTCTCTCAGGCTGATGATCACATTTGACCGGTGATCATCTACAGGCAGTATACTCCCTGGAAGGAAGCGAAACAGCCGGCCAAGTAGCAGAGGAGGCCCTACGCGCAGAATTCCTTGCACCCATGGCCGTGGTTGGCAGTATCATTGGCTCATGGATTATTGGACTGGCGTACATGCTTGCGCTTCTGTTCTCTGTTCAGAGTATCACCAGCATTCAAACCACTTCTTACGCCATCCCTATCGCTCAGCTATATCACGACGCCATAGGAACGCGCTTGACCCTCATGTGTCTGACTGTAATTTGTTTAGCTCAGTTCATGGCTGCTGTTACAGCATTTACAGCATCCTCGAGATTGTATTATGCGCTTGCTAGAGATAATGCTTTCCCTGCGAAGGGTGCGTTTATGGCATTGAATCGATTTCAAGCACCCTTCGTTGGAATTTGGATGTCGGTTCTCATCGGGTGTGTGGTTTCCTGTGCTTACATTGGATCGGTCATCGCGGTCGGTTATACTCATATCACTAAAAAGGTTTTGACCAACTTACTTCTTCTTTCAGTTCAATGCGATATTGTCTTCTGCTGCCATTGCTGTAATGCTCAGCTATCTGCAGCCAATAGCTATTCGTGTATTCTGGCCCTCATCGTAACTTATTTCTATTCTCAGTCCAATAGCTCTCATCAATCAGTCCTTTTAGTCTCCAAGTCCGTGGACCCTTTCATCTTGGAAAATGGTCATGGGTAATCAACGCCGTAAGCCTCGCAGTTCGTTCTCTCTCCCTGATTTTCCTTTCGCCCAGCTCATTTTCTGTTGCAGTTTACATCCTTCATATGCGTACTCTTCATCCTTCCAACAGCATTTCCGGTTAACAAGACCAATATGAATTACGCAGTAGTTTCCATAGGAGGTATTGGAATGATTGTGGCTACGACGTGGATCTTCTGGGGGCGCTTTCATTACAAGGGTCCTGTACTAACCAATGTAGCTCAACGCCCTGAATCTGCATCCTCAGATGAAAAGATGGCATAAAGCTATTTGCAGATATATATACTAGGAAACATGTACGCCATAGTACGTATGTACGACTTCGACTTGTGGGTCACGGTGCCACAGTTTGGAGTGTACAAGTATGGATTGTTTAAGTGGCGAGGTTGGCAACTCCATCGGTGATTTCCTCGGTACCCTCAACGAGTTTAGTGATCTGCGATGAGGATTCTCGATCAATATTGACAAAACAGATCTACATAACATGACAAACCTTTCCAATGGCTATCGTTCTTCCTTCGTCTCGTAGTGTGAATCGGCCTAATTGAGGGTAGTCGGTGAATCGCTCCACGCACACAGCTGCAGTGGTTTCAATAAGAGCAACAATTTTTTGGCCTGATGGTGTGGATTCTGATCAAAAACCATTACCTCGTACTCATCTTGGATTCGTACCTTTCTTGGCATATTGAGGAGGTTTTTTTGACTTGCGGCCAGTTGCTTTGTCAAAATAGTGTAACAGGGACTGACGGTCGGTCAGCAAAGCGTTCCCATTCTACATATACAATACTTACAACCAGGGTGACCTCTTCCGCAAGAGTGTGTACGTGCATCACCGCCGAATATCCGGCGCAAATGATGCTCTTGTGTTCCAGAATAGCCAGCTGCGCCTCAAACTGACGCACGGCATGAATAGGCTTCGATGGGCTAGTGAGCACGAAACCAGGGTTGATGTCCTCGTCATCCACGCCGCGAATACGAATGCGAACATTGTCACCGCAAAAGGCGTCGGGGACTTCATCTTCAATTTCATTGTAAATGGCGGCGATTTCTACTTGGTCCTTGTTAGGCATGAGAACGAGCTTGTCGTCTTTGCGCATGTGTCCGGATTCGATCTTTCCAACAATAATGGTACCCATATCTTTGTATTTTTCGGATACGGGCATCATGAGAGGCGCGTTGATCTTTCGGTCAACCATGGGCATATGATCCATATGCTCGAGGAAAGAAGGACCGCTGTAGGTTGGGATTAGATGGAGCAAATAATTAAAGCGTAAGTTTGAGACTTACTCCCACCAAGGGCATGTTGTTTTAGGTACACGGTCTTTCAAATTGAGACCAGTGTAAGCGGACACGGGGATGAATGTTACGTCGGTCTTGGGGTTGAATCCAGCAGCCCTTACGAATGGTGTTAGCTTGTCTTTAATCTCATCGTATCTCCCTTTGTCCCATAGAACGGTCGGATCGTCCATCTTGTTGATAACGATCACAACTTTGGACACACCAGCGGTCTTGACCAACATGATATGCTCCCGAGTTTGACCACCGCGCTCAAATCCGGTTTCAAATTCACCTTTACGAGCTGAGATGACGAGGATCGCGATATCAGCTTGTGCAGCTCCAGAAATCATGGATGGGACGAAGGTCTTGTGCCCTGGTGCGTCGAGTATGGTGTAACGACGAATGGTTGTCTCAAAGTAGGCACGACCTACTTCAACAGTCTTTCCCTTCAGTCGCTCCTGAGGGGTCGAATCGAGTGCCCAACTGAGATACCAGGTTTCTCGACCAGCTTCCTTTGCTTCTTTTTCGTACTTTTCCATCGTCCGCTTGTCGACGGCACCGGTGATGAAGAGTAGATTACCACCTAGTGTACTTTTTCCAGCGTCTACATGACCAATGAAAACGATGTTCAGATGTTCTTTGGCTGTTAAAGGTCGGATGTGTAGTTTGTCATACCCCGAGAAGGATTAGAACGTACCATTTCCAAACAGGTCGTCCAGTACAGCCTTATCCGCCGCTGCCTGCACTTCCTTCGCAATAGCATTCGTATCTGTTTTGCTTTTCTCTAATGAAAAGGTTTTGGATGGAGCAGTAGGGGGAGCAGGGGAGTCTGATTTCACTTTGACCGATGTTTTCGCAGGGATAGGTGTAGATTTTGCCTGTGATGAAGTTGGGGTAGATGTAGGGGCATTTGACGGAGTAATAGCAGCAGCAGGGTCAGGCTGGACAACTGGTGTTGGAGCAGATGGCTTGGAGCCTCCGATGCTGAGAGATATTGTTGGAGGCGGACGAGGAGCTTCAGTTTGTTCTGGACGCTCGATTGGCGGGGGCAGAGGCGCTTGACTCTGCTGGAAGCTCTGAGGAGGAAGAGCAAAGCTCTTTCCTGGCACGAATTCGAAGGCCCCAGCGTTGAGTTTGCTCATGGCGAGAGGTAAAAGGAAACACGGAATTGATATTGTGATCAAAGTAATTTTCATCTCTCTATGGAGTCGGCTTTATACGATAATTTCATACTGATATCCACCGGTCAGTCAAGTTGAGTCATTTTAGTTATGAATGCTATGTATTATAGAGAGAAAAGGTTGTTTTTTTGGATCTTATTACAACGACCGTCTACTATTTCCTATTTCCTAATTTGGATAACGGCGCTTCCTTCATTACATAGCTCCACCTTCACCTTCCACCAATCAATGGCTGAGCCTGAAGAGTATTTGGCTGTTCTCAAGGCTTCGTACGACTATGAACCACAATCTGACGACGAGATTGCCATCAAAGAAAACCAGATCCTCTTTCTCAAGGAACGAACAGACGAAGAGTAAGTGATTTCTTGCAGTGTTTCCTCCCAATACTCATATTCTACAGCTGGTGGAAGGTCAAGATAAAGGGTGAATCTCAAGATCAAAGCACTCCCACTGGTCTTGTTCCTGCTGCTTATGTGGAACAGGTGCGTTATATAACTCTAGTTTGTCTGCAAGTGATTTACGGGCCACATCAGGCCGACCACCTGTCTTTGGTTAAAGCTCTCTATGACTATGAGGCCAGTGCTCCGGGAGAACTCACGATTATCGAGGGCGAAATCTTGCTTGCTTTTGAGCCTGATGATGAGTGGTTGCTGGTTCAAAGCACCAAGGAGGGCGGTAAAGCTGGCTATATACCGGCGAACTACGTAGAGACACATGTAGAAGGCACTGAAGAAGAGGCAACGGAAGAGCAGCCAGCAAATCAACGAATTATAGTTCCACCTTCAGTGCGTATTTAACACCCTCACCAAAGCCGCTGTATCTTGATCACCGTCCCAGCCCACCCCTTCTCCTCCACCCACATATGTCGATCCTGCAGATAGAGTCGCATCATCCAAACTCAACGCCGATGATATCAAGACTTGGTCCGTATCAGAGGTCGACAAGAAAGGAAAGAAGATGAAGGGAACACTTGGTATAGGTAGTGGGGCAGTGTTCTTCGCCAGCGAAACCAGCAAGGTGCATATGTAGTTCACTTATCACCTCTACGTCTACTCACCTTTACTCAGGCAGCGGTGCAGAAATGGCCCACAAGCTCAATCAGCAATATTAATGTTGAAAAGGCTAAACATGTCCACTTTGATGTTGAGGGCGGAGTCAGCTTACATTTCACCGTCGGCTCCAAGGACAACTGCGAAGCGATTGTCGCGAAGCTAGAATCTTCAAAAGCCTTAGCCCTTCAACCTTCGGAGGAAACACCTGCGCCGACACCCAGCAGAGCTCCTCCGCCACCTTCGTTAGGTTCGCTTCCAGCAAGAGCAGTCAAAGCCTCCGTCCATTTTGCTCCCGAGTCCCCCGCAATTATACCGTCTCCCCTGAAGCAGAGGAGCCAGAAGAAGAGGAAGAACCAGAAGAGGAGGGAGAAATGGCTGTAGCGCTTTATCCGTTTACTGCCGATGGAGACGATGAATTATCTGTGATCGAGGGCGAACAGCTATTGGTGCTAGAAAAAGATGGTGACGAGTGGTGGAAGTGTCGGAATGCTGAAGGCGCGGAAGGAGTGGTCCCTGCGTCATATATTGAGCTCGCGCCTTCTAACCGCCAGACTGCGCCAAGATCCACTCCCCTCGAAGAGGAACCAGAAGAGGAAGAGGAAAAGGAGGATCTTGTGGCGAAAGAGGCACAAGCCCGAGAACGAGCAGAGGCGGAAGCTGCTGCTGCTGCGGCCGCCGAACGTGCGCGGAAAGAGGAAGAGGGACGTAGAGAAAAGGATAAGGAAAAAGAGAGAAAGAAGAAGGAGGCGCAAGCGCGAGCAAAGGCTGCTGAAGCCGAGCGGGCCAAGAGGACGCAGGCTGCAGCCGTCAGTCATCCTTCGCCTCCACCTTCATCAGCCAACAACAGGTTAGTCATATGTACCCTGATCGCCAAGCTATGATTGATTACAGTTTTTAGTCGTTCTTCACCTAACAAAGACCGCCCTAGCTCTTCATCAGGACGAACCTCCGCCGAAAACGGTTGTATGTGCCTTTTTTTCCTGGCCTGTTTCAAAACCTAACGACTGTTTTCAGTCCCTCCTGCGGATCGTGTCCGGATTTGGCATGATCGTAGCGGGCAATTTCGTGTTGAAGCTGCTCTTCTTAGCTTCAAGGACGGAAAACTCAGGCTTCACAAGATCAATGGTGTCATTGTGGAAGTACCCTCAGAGAAAATGTCTGTCGAAGACATGCGCTACGTTGACAAACTTCTCAGTAAAAAGTCCCATCCTCCAACAAATGTCAATCTTTCCGATGATGATACCCCTCTCGCACTGCACCGTTCAAAATCATCTGGAGGGAAGGTTGCTCCTCCTCGAGTTTCTCCTCAGCCGAAGAAAGGCCCAACTATTGATTGGTTCGATTTCTTTCTCACTGCTGGATGTGATTTAGACGATTGCACTCGATATGCTGCGTCATTTGAACGGGATAAAATTGACGAGTCAATTTTGCCCGACATAACGGAGTCAACCATGCGTTCATTGGGTCTCAGAGAGGGTGATATTATCCGTGTCACGAAGGCAATTGAGAAGCGCAGGCCCAAATCTGCTGATAAAAGCAATGATCACTCAGCCCGGGATGAGGCACTTGCAAAGCAGCTCCAAGCGCAGGAGAGCAGCGATTCTCCAAAAGTTACTGCTCCTCCTAATCTATTTGCAAACGGGCCGAACGGTGTGCTCAAACCTGGAAGGAGAGGAAGACCTCAACCGACCAAAAGTCTATCCAGCGCCGTTGATCTTAACACCATCAGCGAAGTTTCCGACAAGATACAACGTACAGAATCGCCTTCGCTCCTAAGCCCCGTCTCTGCAGGGACACCGGTGCAACCTCCAGCTCGTTCAAGCTCTGCTGCGCTGGTCGCGAGTGGATTCGACGACGACGCATGGACGAATCGACCAATTTCTACAGAACCGCTGGCTCCTGCATCTCGTGCTCCACCTGTTACGGTGCCTCGTGCCCCTTCCGCTCCGCCTACATCTGCCCCCGCTCAAGCCGTTCCTGTTCCAACTCCTCCAAACCCTCCTGTCGCAGCTTCAGCCAGAGGTCCCCCAAGTCTAGCAAACACAACAGAGGACGATGTATTTCAGCAACTCGCTCGTTTAAGCGAGCTGCGAAAGAGCACCGCACCGGCACCGGCACCTTCTCCTTCTCCTATAACTAACGTCGTTCAAATGGGTACTCCCTCTCCGATACCTCAAGCGCCAACTCCCCCTACAGCTCCTAACGGATATCAAAGCGGCATGGGAATGAGCAACTCGCCCATTCCTATGGGTCAACATCTCCAAGCGCAACAAACAGGCGTATACGGCCCCGGACCACGGGGACCTTACGCCCCTGTCCCTTCAAACCAGAATCTCTTGCAGCCCTTGATTCCCACACAGACAGGTTTCAACGGCTTTGTACCGACACGAGCTAATAATGTAAATCTTTCGCAACCGTCATTTTTGCAATCGCAGCCAACTGGGTTCCCAACCACTCAACCTATGATTTCTTATCCAAACGGATTCCCGATAACGACACAATCTACGGGAATGCCGTTTGGTGGTATGAATGGTGGTATGACAGGTCTCAACAGTGGTATGAACGCTGTGAATCCTTTCGGCGCTGGAGGTGTTATGACGAGTATGTCCTCGGTCTCCTTTTGTTACCATTCGTCTCATTTTTATCTTTCTAGATCCAACAGGTTTCAATCCTGCAATGGGCCCGAACTTCAACGCTGGCATGTCTTCGCCTCCGCCTGTTCCTCCGCTCCCATCGGCTACTTCAAATCACAACAGCACTAATCCAGCCAATATCTTTGCGCAAATGAAGTCTGGGACCTTTGCCAATGACAACGAAAGCTCACTACCAAACCCGAGTAAGTGGTTTTGTTTTTATTGTTGATTATGTATTTCTCATTTTATAGATTATGATGCCCTACGGCCACAACCCACTGGCTGGGGAGGATTCCCAGGAACATCTTATGTTGGATATCAATGAATATTCCTCCTGTAGTTTTATTATTGCGATAGAAAAGCTTATCAATTTTGTGGATTTTTTACCTTGAATCTGAGCTGCCGTAAGGGCGGGGTTCCGTAAGCATTGCTCACATACCGACGCCCGTACTTTATCCAATAGAGCGTGTGAATTACGCGAGAATATACAAATAAATACTATACACAATTACGATGAATGCTTGTCTATGATACCCTGAGTGTGTCCAACCCGTATAAAATATGTTCTGAGGCATTGCCGTACCGATGTTGGTAACTCCCTTGCTAATAGATCTGCAGCTAAAGGATATATTGCTGGAAGATACCTTGCAAACTGTGAGAGTATTAGTAACATAATTGTGTACACAGGCGCTGGAAGAGACTGACGGCTTTATCATCAAAGCGGCAAAATCCGTCCAGAATTTCTTCAACTACAGGAGTCCATGCAATGATGTTTTTGGCTTGACTGTCTGATCGGAGTTTGTTGTAGTCTTCGACAACACCCAAGCTAAGTCTGTATGTACAAAAAGCATTATAAAAGGAAATAAAGACTAGCTACAAAGGTACTCACGGAAGGAAACGATCTGCAATTTGGGAACGGGCTGTTTGGTGAGCTGGCCTGGGATCGTAGTACATGCGTAATAGAACATGAACGAGCGTTGAAGCACTGCTCGACTCCTGCTTCAAGAGATTTGGCAAATGTTTCATGAAACCTAATTAGACATTTAATTCCATAAATCATAGTGTCTCAACGCGGGGGAATTTCAACTGACCAACTTTCCATAGCCCAGTGCGTAAATCCTTGTCTTCGTTGAACATTCGAGCAAACTGATAGCTATGGTCGAGGACACCCATGAGTTTAAGCAGCTGCTCTGGAGGTATGGTGTTATAAACGTTCTCATTCCGGAGTAGATCATTTGTGGTTTCAATAAGCAAAAGTTGCAGTACGCATTTCACAATAATCTGCTTGAAGATACGGCGACGTTCTGCCAATGAAGGCAGCGAGCTAGTTCTCGCTTGCTCTGACAAAGGTGCAGGAAGGATTGTTTGGCCATTGGTTTCTAAGAAAGAAAGTTGAGAACATTTCGAAGTCCAGTGAATAACTTCTATCTTACCCTCCGCGATCTCCGAGCTACTGTCAGCAATTTCTTCCCGTAGAGTCTCGTCAAATAATTGATGAGGTGTCGTGGTCTTGAACAATCTGACAAACGTAGTTGCGACACGTTCCCATCGAGCAGGGCTTAGCTTCGAAACATTGTTTTCCAGCAATTGCTGAAGACACGATGTTCCGATTCGAGCCAAGGTATCGTTTTCTACGCCGCTTTAGCTCAGTCTACTGTGAGATTGGTTCAACTGACCTTGACATATACAGACGCATAAAAGATCCAGAAGCCCGTCAAGGAAACGTTCCAGAATAGTAAAATGATAAGTGTAAAGGTCTATGAGATCGCGCAGGGCTTGTATCATTGTAGTGGATAACCAAACGCTCATGTCCTCTTGCGTGCTGAACCTTGAGAGATCTTGACTAGACTTCAAGACAGCAAAGATGGGGAAGAGAGTCTTCTTGCACACAGTATCCCAAAACTCTAAAGGATAGGTGTCTCCATAAGTCTTTAGTGTTGTGAATAGGGAATCGAGGGCGCTACGTGATGTTAGGTGACTGAACGTCGGGATGAAGAAATACGCTTACAGTCGTCGAACTTCTAGGTCCTCTCCGTTCATGATTATATCGTAGAAAGCGAACAATATGGGGTACCAATACTTTACCATGCCATCATCCATGGAAGAATTCGTCTCAGATGAAGGTCCTGTGCTCCAGCCGCACTCCGCACAATCTAACATAACGGGAATGACTCCTCTGAGCATTCCTATCGCCAGCAGACTTATCTTCTGATACTTGCTCACTTTGCAGAAGTCGGTGATGCACACTACCAGATCACTGAACGCTCCGTTACGAACGATGTCAGAAAAATGATCCCGATTCAGTTTAGTGACGATTTCGAAGGCGGAGTTGGGAATCCGTTCTGAGACGAACTCAACACCATACTTCTGCGATATGAGAGCATTACTTACCAGTGAGCACTTTGGACGCTGCTTGGAACACGCCGAACATTGTCCGCCACCCTGACCGCATATTTTGAACCCGAGCTTGTATCATTTGTTGTAAACATTGTAGCACCTGGAAACACGAATCAGTACAACCTTCTGGTCGTCAATAAATAGATCCCTCACCATGTCACGAATCTCTGGGTTGGTATTATGAATCATCGTATGTTCGAATGGCTTCAAGAAATCTTTCTGGAATTTAAAGAGCGGCAATTCTTCCTTCTCTAGAAATCGCATTGCGAGCTGTCGTAGGGAATCCAGAGCAAAGAAGCCGACATGAGGGTTATTGTGGCAACAGACCTGTGGCTGTGTCAGCCCAGGCAACAACGTAGTTTTCTACGACCTTACCTGATTGAAATGTTCCCCTATTATATCCCAGAGATTTAACCACTCGAGCCGAATACGATTCATGTTGTAGTACGAGATCTCGACAAGTTTCTGCAAACTGAACATTCGAGGGTGCTGTGACAAGCCGGAAGATTGTATTTCCTCCCATGAAACATCACTCAGGGCTTGGACAAAATCAACTATGGCAGTCTAGTTTCGACGTCAAGAAAGTATGATACTTGGACAGAAGAACGACATACCCCAGATAGAAAATGACTCAGAGAAAAGACCATATCTGCCGCTACCGTTATGTGTGTAGATCTACTTTCGTTCGCAAGCTCTTCTGCTGGCAATTTGCGCGGTCGGCTGTCAAGTCATTAATAGGACAGATATACTCGAGCCGATACCACCTACCCTTTCTTTTCTGGAACATCGACACCACTGCTAATGAGCTGCATATGCTCGAGTTGGCTGACACAAGTTAACACTTCGTGCCAAGAGCCTCTCAAATGATTGCCTTCAGTGACAGCAACATCGAGAAGAGCCTTGATCGCCTCCATATTCTTCGTCTTCATCTCTCCTAGATTATTCAAGAAGGTGAATTTAGCAAGGGTAGTGACAAACGCGTTTCTCTCCAGTTCAAGGTCGAAAAAACAGACTATCTTGATAGCACTCTTGAATCCATCGAGACAAAGCGCTACTATTTCCAGATCGTCAGTCTCTTGCAGTGGCCCAGAAAGGCCTGCTAGAAACGGAATCCAAGCCACCTCGAACATGGGTCGCACATGCACGAAATGGGACGCGCTGAAGAATTGGTTTCCAGCGTTCGAACCCTTTCGTTGCGTGCGCATCAATGTCTTGAACATGGCCTACAATAATGAGCGAATCAGATCGTAGAATGACTCGGTCGCCAACGTGACAAACTTCAGTTTTGTTCAACATTCCACTAGACTGCATCACATATGCCTCCCTCTGAAGATCTCGTCCCACATTTGCCAACGCACTCGCAATACCAGGACCAGTCGCACTGACTGTTATTGCTTCGACTTCGTCCTTCATCTTGATTTCATTACTCGTGATTTCGTCGAAGATAGGTCCCAAGAGGTCTTCAGGTAAATCTGCCCCGTCATTAATTCCACGATTGTTCTTGATGAAGTCTTGCTTTGTCATTCGTTTTTTGACCTGCGGGTTGTGGGCATCGGTATTCAGCAAGACGACGGAATATGCTAGAACGTATGCAGTGTCTAAAATGATTGTCAGTACATGTTCAATTATACAGCATGAATGACCTACCTGCGTTTGCAAAAGCCGTTTGAGTATTCCCAGCGACATAACGTTCAGCGAATTTTAACATGAATCGGTCAATCTTCTGCGCTTCTCCAGGCAGACGGAAGGATTGCAAGAAGAGGCGGAGCGCATCCACAAAAGCAAGGTTATTGAAGTCCAACTGATCGACAAAGGCATGCATGATGGCAATGTTCTCTTCGCCTCTGGAAAAAAGTTGAATTGCTACATCGAGAAATGTATTACACAAGACTAACCCTTCACCAAGATATTCACCAATCATGGATTTACTCAAACCATCAGTGTGCAACAGGAAGTTGGCAATGGCTTGGGGGGTTTTGCTTAGAATGAAGCCGTTTTCGATCAAGAAAGAAATACCCTGTTCAGCAAGGATCAGCGTTGTTCGGACATCGCAATATAGGAGCCACCCACCCGTTTAGGTTTGAAATTGAATCTTCTAATGCCTTCCAACAAAGTGGTCTTCTTTTGCTTCGCGCTCTCGAATCTACTTGGATCATCAGCGAGCTCCGGTGTCGGTTGTCGCAACTGTTCAGAGCTTGGTTCTGTAGCCAACCTATCCAATGACGAATCGGCAACCATCGAATCTCTCGGAGCCTCTTCACCGTTTTGCGAGACAGTTCCGGACTCGGATCCAACGAGAGTGTTGCCATCTTCGGTGCTCTTACCGGCAGCAGTGCCCCAAGCTACCAGCGATCTCAGGATCGCGACTAGACACTCCAGGCCTTGTCTTCGAAGTTGAGCTTCTGAAAGGCCCATGGTTGAGGTATCCATTGAGCCAGAAACTGACATGGCAGTCGTACTGAGAGATGGGGGAATAGTAGAATTCTTGCCTGACTGTTTGCTGGAATTGGGGGTGACAGCAGGGCTTGGAGGCTCATTGGTTTTGTTATGTTGATTGGTGGACGGGGACGTCGCGATTTTGGAGATAACGTTAATCAGGCTAGATATCGAAGCCTGTTTAGTGGATGGTAGTTAGGTGTCCAGAAAAAACCCACTGTTCATAAATGTTGTCGACAGCTTCGCTATCACAGTCATAGTTGAGATAAATATCTACCAAAGCTTGAGGATCTTGACATAAACGCGAAAACATCCCTAAGATAACAGCTTTTTGTTTCAAGGTCGATGTACGCATTTCCAGTATCGGGATATATATTTCGTGCAAAAGAACTTCAATCTCTTTCTGGGAGACGGATCAGAAAGGACTTTGATGAATTATTGAACTTACGCGTACCTTCAATTTTGTTCGCATGCCTGACAGCATTCTCCAGAAGATTTCCACACTGATGTCGAAAACTTGGGGTACAGGACTGATCGCATTGCGACTCACAGTCAGACAGAGATATTGGTTGATAGCTTGCACAAAAGTAGTTGCTTCGTTGGAAGAGTTGGAGTAGATGATGGCGGATGGGTCAATAAATAATGGCATATGTGTATTAAGGACGGTTAACACCAGATGCAACGAAAGTAATTTCGAGCGCATAGCATGGGATTTTACATCGCGTTCACTGGGACAAATTAGTTAGGACCTAACTCGTCAAGTTTAAATATGCGCACCTTTCGTTATTCAGGGGTTTCATCGTGAGTTTGCACAGTGCACGGAGCACTAAAAACGCGTCTTTGACGAACATGTCCTTCGTACTCAATCCCTTCCGACCAAAACCACTATGTCCGAATTGTTCGTGACTCTCCATCGCTTCAGGAACGTTTCTGCACTTATCATGAGAAAACAACTCCGGGAAGGTCTGCGATATGACTTACACGAATGCTTTGGGTGTACGCGGCCCAGATTCATCGTCCTCTTCGGGATGGGATCCATTGACTGACTCACTTTCAGTAGTGACAGGTAGCGGGCTTGCGGTCTCCTGTGGCAGTGACGCTGTCGAAGCAGAAGCATTGTCCTTGGTGTATGAGTCGGGCGTATTACGCCCATTGATTGCTGTCGGCGTTCTTGGGGATGGGACAGTAAACGGAAGGTGTTTTGGAGAAGCAAAACTGGTTTGACTTGGACTTCGGGATAAAGTCGCGCTGTCGATCGATGGGGGATAATCTCCAATCCTACAACGCGTGAAGACGTGATGCACCATCTGAGTAAGACCACCTTGTGCAACCATCTGATTAACAGGATCTGTACTCAGGAGGAAGACGTTATACACAGTTCGGACCGCCTTCAATAAGGAAGAATGGTGCACTAGGACGGTAGGAGAGAGAACCAGTGATAGTAGAGCTTTCACGATTTGTAGGGATACCGCATCGGGAGTATTCTCTGTATGACAAGCGGTGATTGTGTGAGCAACGAGGTCAACCAGGGATGGCAGGTTATCTTCGAGGGATGGACCCGGTGAGTTCGGAGGGGAATTGTAATCCGAATTCGCAGACAAAGGTGATTCCGCAAAAAAAGAATACGAAATTAATTTGGAAATACAATCCAAGCTGGCGATCATAAGCTTCTCGTTCCTCGTTTCGCAAGCCAGCCGAAGCGGTTCAAAGATTTCTTTGGGATGGTCACCGCCCTGGTTGCTGCGAATGAGGTCCAGAGCCTTTTGGGTGCTCTCTTTCAGAGGAGCAGAACGCTTCGCATCCTTAGAGGAAGCAATGATTTCGAGTGCAGAGGATATAAGTACAGCTGAAACCGAGTTGTTGCCTCTGCTGATGGTCAATGAGCGTCGATGAGTAACTGAATTCGACGAAAGCGGAGAGCCAGGTGTCTTCGGATGATGGGATTCTTTGAAGGTGTTAGGGTTGAATACGGGAGAAGAAGGCACTGGGGGAATTTCCCGGACAGTGGAAGAAGACGGCTCTGCCGATTTCAAGGTCGGCGTAAGTTCTAGGGAAGACTCTGGCTCTGGAACTGGGAGTTCCCTCTCCTGCGCGTCAGAATTCGGCGCAGTAATTCGTGAATCCGACACTGCAATGACGGCTTCATCGACAGCGCTTGCATTTCCGTCCATTTGCTCTTCTGTCATTGGTGCTGTTGAGTTCAAGACCGATAATTCTTGCTCCTGCACGCCAAGGATTGGTGCATGGATTTGCGGAATGGGTACTCCAACCGAAAGTTCATCAACAACATCTATATGTCCCTCTACGTTCTCTGCTGCGGATGGTTCATACTTCAGCGAATCCTCGATTTTTTGCGGCTTCAAATCTGGCTGTGGAGAAGGACCTGACCGGTGGGATGCATCTGCATCTGACTTATGGGCAACGGATATAGACGGATTTGCGTATCCATTCTGGGCGGGTGTATGTGGAGGGGAAGAAGGAAGTGGAATTTCAGCAGCAGAATGCTGGTCATCCATACTGAACGACAGGGCCTGAGAGCCCAATCTGAGTGGAAAAACGGAGAGTTAAAAGACGTGTCACGTTCACCGGCAAGAACAGGCAGAACGCCCGCTAATTGTTACATAGATTATTAGATATATGAATTCTTTCTTTAAACCCTCATCCAGCCCTTATCAGCGACGTGCCGACTTGAACCTTTTCTCCGAAAGTATCATAGGGAAAAGCATGAATTCCACATTATGTGGTATATCAACTAGGTACATTCACGTTGCTTACTGAGTCTGCACCAAACTAACAAATTCCATTGACCAGTGATGATTCAGACTATAGTGACCACACTGTAACGCTGACAGTGTTCCGCAGCCACCTCACCAAGCTGACACCAGAGGACCACCTTCAGGAATTAACGTACCCCTTTGGGGACATACACCTTGCTTGCGTTCCTTCTCACGTGCCAGACAACGTTGATTACAGCTTGCTTTGTGATATGAAACTCTCATTATCAACGCATTCTATTCAACTAGCCAGGCTCTATGTCAATAATCAAAACTTGTCGTACTCCCACTGAAACCAAAATCTAATGTCATTGTTGAACATGGCCACTTTGTCGTTAAACTGACATGCGTCCAACCTCTTCCACCTCAGATAAGCTCCTCTGATAGTGATTTCCAAGTGTGGCTGCCGCTGATATGGACAGATAACTTTTGGTAGGTTCTGTATGCAGGTAAGCAATTAGTATGCATCCATGATGTGCACTTACTATAACCATAGCATAGTACAATCTTCCTACTTCAGTGAAGAAATCATAAATTTCGGGTGCAAGTTGTGGACATAACCTTTTGATGATTCCCTCTGTTTCACCCAGTTGTATCATCTCATTTAATTTGTGCCGAGCCACAATATCTGACACTATTCCTTCACGCTGGTATAGACTATTCTTCATGATTGTTTGTGTCACATCATCCCTGGTACTGAACAATGAAATCAATATACAAACCTCAGTGTACATGAAGCATTTACCTCAATGTGATGAGTTTGCCCTCGCTCTTCTATACTCACATCATAGGTAGCTAACTTCAACAGGTGCTACTGCGTACTCATATTTGCCACACTTCAACTGGGTGGAGGGATGAAAGATGGGAAAGACGGGGTACCATCATGGTGGTCCATTTTGTCGAGAGCTGGCTGCAGTTACGAGTATGAGATGGGTATGCAGGGACAGGGTACATGGCAGTACACCCAAACCGTAAAGATTGTATAATGGGAAAGATGTCATATTTGCTGTGGGACCAGCTTGGGACGGCACTGACAATGTTCATCATCAGCAAATGGACAGAATGGAATAGGTGAGGCCAAACAAGGGAACACAGATGGCGTGAGAAAAGAGCAAGAGCAAATAGGGTACTGTGCAACAAATAGCACATAAGGCGGAAAATCCAAATCTCATTTGGAGGACTTTCGAGCGATGAAAGGGATGAGTGGGAGACAGGTGCAACAAACTGTGGATAGGATTAACAAAAAGTAGTGAAAAAAACATAAGAAATGGACAGTTATTTCAGTAGACATCAAACAGAGATTGCAGCACAGGGGACTTTGAAAGAGAAGTAAATTTCTACTAAGAGGTGGGGTCAATTTATAAAGCTATGATGCATACAAAGAAAAGACTAACCATTTGAAAAAAAAAGGGGAGCAATCGAGTGTAACGGAAGGGATAGGGAGAAGCGAAGTGATACTGAGGGTGGCTGTTTAGTATAGGTGAGCGCAGGGTTGGGACAAGGGAAAGTAAATCAGGGCTGCATGAAGGTTCACAGAAGGGTCAGGTGATTGCCTTATAGGGCAAAAGCGATGCGTCGGACCGGACAAAGATAACTTTAAAAGGAAATTTTGCACGGGCGCTTGAGGTTATGGATGTTCAATGACCATTGCAAGCAAGGTGAACAATTTGGCATACATTGAGGCAAACAAGGACCAATGCTTTGATGCGATATTCAGAGCCAACAATGCAGTCGGTGACTTTGTTTACAAGTTTACAAGATGATATTCATCTATGTTCCATAAGAACTAAGGCCTAAGTAAGGCTATGTACATGTAACCGATGAACTAGACTTGTTGTTTGTAAATATAGGTGACTAGGTATGTCAGTACCGCGAATAAATATCCGACGCTGCGAGTTTACAATGAGAGGACAGGCAATCATGAGGAATGCATGGAGAATGAAATGCAAAAAAAGAAAGAAAAAGAAATTAGATGAACAGAACAACTAAAACCATGCGATGAATACGCTGAGATATGTGAAAATCGAAGAAAGAGGAAATCTGTTGGAGTGAAGAGACTGGACTTCTCCGCAGGCTTTTGACCTTTAATCGAGATCAGACTCCAACGCTCGGACGCCATCTTCCCAATCATCTCTGGGCACTACTCCGATCGTGCGGCAAATTGGGCATGATACCTCGACAGATTTTCCTTCTTCAACAATGACTTCCTCTGCCCCGTTCAATGCTACTCTTTGAGCGGAAACAAGACACGGAGTATGGAATGTGTGTTCACAAACGTACTTCGGCTCCGGGTCATGGTCTGCCTTCTCCTTTCCTTTGCCTTTTGGGTCCTCACCTCCTTCCTGTGGACTTGACGTAGAAGCAGCGGATCCCTGCCTGATCCTCACTTGCCTTTTCTGCCCCTCAGGAATTTCCCTCAAAGGACAATCATCGTCAGGAGCTAGCCCGCAGGACACGTCCCAACACCTTAGCCCGGCCTCCCGCTCTCTCTTTTCAATAGTTTGCCGCAGCGTTAGCCCAGGCGGGGGCGGGGGCGCCCATGGTCTCCGCTCTTGAGTACGGTAACCTCCCCGAGCAGCTGAACGAGGTCGAGATCCACGAGTCGCATACTGTGGTCGGCGGGGACCTGCTGTGCTAGGAACGGCAGAACCAAACATAGAGTCGAGGTAACCAGTTATATCTGGTATCCGTGGAGATGTATTAGGATTCGGTTGTGCGTTGTTACCGGTAGCATCACTACTAGCAGCCCGACGTTGGTTGGCTGCGAAATTATTATGCGCAGTTCGTGGGTCTGATGCTTGCAAGGGCGGGGCTGCAACTGGGACAGTCGAATTGGAGACATCACCGGGTGTTCTAGCTCCAGATGACATAACAGGTCCCTCCGGGCGTTGAGGATGGGCGTTGAGTATATCCGGAAATGACATAAAGTCTTCTTCTGCAGCGGTGACAATGAAAACTAGGACACCACGGAATACATACCGTAAACACGTACCTTCGTCGAAAGAGCTGGGATCCATAGAACCCAGATGGTCTATTCCGATATCGACTCCGATTGTATGAAATTCCACTTCGTTAGGAAGTTCCGCTTCAGAATTTCCGGAAGTCTGTCCTCTAGAGTCGGTTTGGTGAGGTACGCCATCTTGCGCAGCATATGAATTGTCGGCGTCGCGATTATTGGTACCATGGTTGTCACTATGATTCAAAGGCGCGTTCTGTGGCGTATTTCCTGTTGCACCGGCTTGAGGTGGAATCGGACCCGATAGAGGTGCATTGGGGCTGAGAACGAAGTCAAATCCAATGGTGACATAACTATCTCCTGCATGGTGGTGATGTTGTATGTTGCCTTGAGGGTGCATATGGGGAATAGGAAGCGGATGGACATGAGGTTGAGAAGCATTGTTGAGTGGAGGATTTGATTGCGCAAAAGGATCATTGACTAAAAAGGATATCAGCGATGACAGCAGAATGACAACCAATACACAGAATACCTGTTACCCCCGGATTCGGACCGGGTATTCCACCTGCCAAAATATTCATAAGCATCCATAAGCGCCACCAGAAAGAAGCCAAGGGGACATACCGGAGGAAAACAGTCGACTGAAGAAAGACTGAGAAACTTCATTCGAAAGCTGATCTTCATTGGACCAGGGTTGGCGAGTCGGAAGTCGAGGAGCACCAGGAGGTATAAGAGTTGAAGGATTAATATCAGCAGCATTGGCGGTCGATGCAGTAACAGAAGCGTTGGGATTTGAGGAGGTCATGCCTTATACATTGATTAATCCGGATACTCGCAGACGGTGAACAGTGATCTTACCATGTACCCTGTCCTCGCTTTGGCGAGTAGAGGGAGCTAAAAATCCCGAAGAGAGTATTGTGTGAGTGGCTGATGTCCAAATTGAATATATGAAGCAATTACCATGATTGACACGGGGAGGATGGCCTATGATTGTCAAAGACAGACAAACACCGAAGGAACGTTCATAACTGCACAAACTGACGTAAAGGCATTCACTAACCTTGAGAGTTGTTGATATTCTCATTTGAGGCGGTACGAGGTGTAGGGGTCATACCGGGCGGGAAATGAGAGAAAAAGCCACTACGGATCACGCCTGCTGCGATGAAAATATTAGTTCAGCACAGTTGAAATATATGGTCACCACGCACGAGCACCTGAACCAGTCATACCAGGGAAAGGAGGTTGAACCTGCATGCCGTTACTTCTACCATTAACCGAACCGATGAACGGCATTCTTTGAGCATTGACACTCAAAGGTGCAGGAAGGCCAGTAGCAGGGTCAACAGCTCCAAATCCATCCGTTGTCGTCGAGGCGCTAGGCATAGCATCTTCTCCTGCTACTGTCTCTGTGCCTCCTCTTCCACCCGCGGCTGTAGAAGCAGCTGCCCTTCGTCGAATACCAACGCCTCGTGTGAGGTCGTCAGGGTCAATATTGAATCTGCACGTTGGACATGTCGTTTGGCGAGGTCGTGTAAACCAAGGTAGGAGGCATTCGGAGTGAAAGACATGACTACATGGAAGTGAAACGATTCGAGGATATGTGGGGACTTTGTTGTTGATAGAAGTTCCCTTTGAAGCCGATGAAGATGGGGATGGCGTGGATGAGGGAATAGATAGGGAGGGACTAGTAGTCTGCAAGTCATTCTGTGTAATGGTGGATGAGGCATCCGGAGCCATGTTCCCACCGGCCTTAGACGCATCTTCGACTTTCTTTTGCTCTTGCTCTTCCCTCCTCAGGTACTCAGCATCTTGCTCAAGCAACTTTTCCCAACATATTGCACAGCCGCTACTCTCCGGTGAAACTCGCTCCAGTCTGCGAATCAGCCCAACGGGAACTTCTTCTAGACCATCAACCAAAACTTTTGCACGCTCCGGATTCTCGCGTTCCTGAGCCGGTCGGAAACCAAAGAAAGGAATCCCTCCAGGCAGGTCTGTATTGAACGTAAAAGCACCTATACTCAAAAAATTAAAAGGTCAGTGACCGGAATGTAACCACTAGCAGCAATCGTACCTCCTTCCATACCGCTCATCACAGTGAATAAGTTCCCCAAGAAGCCACTATTACCACCACCATTCTCAGCGCCAGCATTTGCGTTTGGCAGATTATCACCAACGGGAACACCATTGAAAGCTGTGGTAAATGTGGCTCCGGGATGACCTCCTGCAGCCTGGAGAAAACTTTGAAGGATTGCAGCGAAGCCATTAGGGGTATTAGGTATAGCACCACGGGGCTGTGAGTTGTTGTTGCCTTCAGGTGTTCCGCTATCTGTGTTATTTCCTGGTCCTCCATTATCAGAAACGTCTGCATTCCCGCCTTGGGTCGCGTTAGTACGGATATCGAAGCCCATTTGGGCCATCATATTTAAAGGGAGAGGGTGATGCTGGTGACCAGGAAAATCGGGGAATGGAGGAAGAGGGCCTGCTGCATCTGCCCCAACACCTGGCATGTTGGAAAAAACAATATGCCGGTGGACGTGATTGTTTGCTTGTCCTGGATGAACAGGATGGATGGGCAAGGGGGAAGAAGCTTCGGATTGATTGTTCGAAGCACGCTGAGACGGATGCCTCCTATCCCGCTCAGAGTCACCGTCAACGTCATCTTCAACCCTAGCACGACGGGTGCCTTGCGGCCGAGTGTTGGAGGAACGGGTAGGATGAGTCGACTCCAGCGAGGGCATATCCTCGTCATCATCTGTGTGTAAGCCGGAACGACCGAAAGTATGTTGGCTGAACTCGGAATTGGCATTCACGATACCTCCTGAATGGGAGACCTGAGAAGTGTTCATGAACTGATCTCGCCTCGCTTCGTCTTCGTCTTCGTCTTCGTCGTCCACTTCGGAATCTTCCGAATCACTGACGTCTTGCAAGGCAGGCATGGAAGAGTCGGACTGATTCCCATCATTCGCGTTTACAGCATTATTGGCGACAGCGGTAATGGCCGTTTGTGGATCCGCAGTACGGCTTTGCTGAGACTCAGACTCCATATCAACATCTGCGCGTAGAGGTTGTTCGCTCTCTTCCGTGTCAGCATCGCGACGCTGGCTTCGTCTGGAGATCGAACGAAGTAAACCGCTTAGGAGATTGCTGTTGTTGGACATCACCGAATTATTTGAAAGACAGTCTATCAGACAATTAGCACTTTATCGAGCACGACGTTCCCTAGAATACAGGGCTTAACAAGAAATCTGACCTAAGAGAGAATGAATTATCTGGCAAACGCTGTAAAGTTTGTACACGTTCAAGTTCTTTATTCGCGAGTTATGAACCGTGGCAAACAGTGGCCCGTACTTTGTATGTGGCAATTACTGTCAAAAAAAAAAGATATGTGAGTGAAAGCCAACTGTAGTGAGAGTCAACTGCAGTGAAAGTCGCAGTCGAATCGCGGTCTGAGAGAGGCGCTCTCGACTATCTCGACTAGACTCCGTGATCTGACGTAATGAGTTCTTTGACTTTCTACTCAATTCCACAGAGTCCGATTTCCTTCCATGGCGGTTCCATCTGGCGCTTCTGCTGCTGTCCTGTTACCTTCCGAGCCAATATCCAGCGATCATATTTCTGTAAAGGGTCCTAATCTTGGAAAATCGCTGTCGCTTTTCGATTTTCTGCAAAGTTATACGCGCATTGGTTTTCAGGCGACTAGTTTTGGCAGGGCAATAGATATTGTGGATCGTATGGCAAGTTATGGAGACATCTATGTGTTTCCCTATCTCACGATAATAATACCAGCGTAAATGGCGTCTATCCGATGAACCCTTGGCTGAAGATGAAGATGAAAAATATCGATCTCCTGAGATTCGCTCAGAAACCAAGTGCAACATTTTCCTTGGTTATACTTCCAACCTCATATCCTCAGGCCTTCGTGAGGTCATCCTATTCCTCGTGAAACACAAGCACGTCGCCGCGGTAGTCACTACCGCAGGAGGAATCGAAGAAGATTTGATAAAATGTCTTGGGAACACATATCTCGCTGATTTCAACTTGGATGGTGCTGATCTACGTAGGAGAGGCATGAATCGTATCGGGAATTTAATCATACCCAATGACAACTACTGCAAGTTTGAAGACTGGCTCACTCCGATCCTCGATGCTATGTTGGCTGAACAGAAGGAAACTGGTGAAGTCTGGACTCCAAGGCGTTTCATCCATAGGTTAGGCAAGGAGATCAATAACGAAGAGTCGGTGTATTATTGGGCATACAAAGTGAAGCACTACAAATCTCGCAATCTCTATGAGATCTGAGCTGTGTTTCTCAGAATGATATCCCTGTGTTTTGCCCTGCTTTAACAGACGGCTCAATTGGAGACATGATCTATTTTCATTCTTTTAAGAATCCTGGCCTCGTTCTCGATATTGTCCAGGATATCCGGGAACTGAACGAGAAATCACGCAAATCCCGTAAAGCTGGCATGATTGTTTTGGGAGGAGGGGTGTGCAAACATCAAATCGCAAACGCAATGCTCATAGTGACTATCATATCTGCGTCGTCGGTAACTGCTCTATTTACGATGCTCGATTTAGCGCAACGGGGCGGACTACTCTGTATTCATCGTAAGTCACGTATGTCTCGTCGCAGTATTTTCGCAATTGATGATCTGATTCCAGAACACTGGCCAAGAATTCGATGGATCCGACTCAGGCGCAAGACCTGACGAGGCAGTCTCATGGGGCAAAATTCGCGCTGGGGCGGAAGCTGTTAAGGTCTCTCCTCACTTTTGCCTGACTTATTCTAGTTACTCATGCAAAAATAGGTGTTTGCAGATGCAACGCTGGTGTTTCCCATGCTCGTAGCAGCAACATTTGCAAAGGATTATCAAACATCATAGCATTTAAAAAGCAATACAAGAAGTGAAAAAAAATACAAGGCTGAGAGGCGATCTCTTCGACGTCTAGCCGAAACGTTAGACCGCATACACATCGACAGTCATTGCTACCGCCTACTGTATCTCTTTAGACCATAATACTAAATCGTCTCTCAATAGTTGCAGAATCTGGAGGGAATCACGAATTGTTTGTGCCATCGCGGCGTCTGCAGACTCCGAGTCCAACGACATGACAGCATCGTCGAACGCGCTCTTGGCCAAATGACACGCTCTTTCGGGACTTTTTCGAACATCTAATACCTATAATTAGCTCTGGCCGAGCACCCTGTTAGTGACCTCTCTCACCGTGATAGAAAACAGCGAAATTTAATGCCAGTCCCAATCTGGTAGGGTGCACAGACTCCAAAGTAGACATCGCATGTCTATACGCATGTTTGTATGCGTTTAAGGATTCATCAGCGTACCATTCCCTTTCAACCTCGTGTGCGAACTCGGCCAGATATCGATAGTAGTCGCCCTTCCTTTTAGCGCGAGGGCGTCAGTAATTCTAAGCCAAGCCCAAACTGCGAGAGACGCACATTTTGGAGTAGAACACGCGCTCTTCGCCTTGCCTCGCAGCTGGCAAAAGCTGCTTCTCAAGCAGCTTGACGATATCTTTGCACACATTGGCAAGTTCGCGCTCGATCTTCTTGCGCTGCTGCCGGATCAGTGTGAGTTGTCTGGTGCTCGTTCCGGGCGCAGTTCGAGAAGCCTGCATCTTTTCCAAGGTATCCACTATACGCCAACTATTCCGAAGGGTATTCGTCTTATTCTTGTACGCGATGGAGAGTAGATTCCGCTCATCGTTAGTCAGCCGCCCATCGAATTGAGTGGCAATTGTCTTGATTTGGGAGATCACGTCTAGTGAAGGTGAACCTCGGCCGGGACTAGATGGTGGAAGAAGAACTCACCATCGTATCGCTCTGCTTCCGCCGCTAGTTCAGCGACCAATAAAGATTCCGCTCTTGGGGGGCTCATGGTGGAAGTATTACAGAAAGGGAACTATTTCCTGAGACGATCGGAGAACGAGGTAACTAGTGGGGTGTCGAACACACTGGAGGCACGCGGTGCAAAGCATCTCTTTTTTTCTGGCCGGGCAAAGGGCACAATGAAAAAAACTCAGCTAACGGAGGTCATGATTGTGGGAACAGTGAAATAACTAAATAGAGGCACACAAATAAGTACAGCCGCGCGCGAGGTCAGTACAAAGTTGAAACCTCTGCAAGTTCTCATCTACGTATTCTGATATTATATCGCACGCGAGTCGCCTGAATCACCAAGAAGAAAAAGCACGACGTCTAAACCTTGAAGGTCATATAGTACATAACATAGACTCTACAGGTACATACACTAACTCCCCAAGAAAACCATTTCAATTTTTCATGAAATTACTAAGCACTGTGCTGAACGTAGAAACAGCCGTCTTCATTTCTTCAGGCTTTAAGATAGTCAGCGAAAGGGCATAACACAGATCACAGAATAGAACTCACAGTAGAGTTGCTGAAACTAATCCGGAAGTGGCCGTATCCTGGAGTATCATCTTCAACCGGGGTAGCGAAGAACATGGCACCTAACGATCGAGTTTAGCATTTGACATTGGCTTGGGAGACCGAAAATCACAAAATAATCACCTGGCGCAAAGAGAACACCAGCATCTGCAATTTCAGTCCATAGCTTCATCTCCAACGCCTTGTAACCCAGAGACGAGAACGAAGGGTGATCATCGAGGTGAAGTTCGAGCTGACACCAAATATGTAAAAATGAGTTTATTGTGCGAGGAACAGGACATCTCACCCATAGGAACATGCCAGAACTTGGCGGCACAAAAGAGAAGAGAGGTTTGGAGTAGGCAACGTCTTTCTCGCTCAAAAGAACAAACGAGCGCTTGGGTTTCAGCGATGCATGGTATATATGTGCCCCAGCCGTATAGCCCTCGGTAGACAATGTTGCCTTGAGATGGAACTCGTCCGCGAAGCAATCGAGGAAATAGTCTCTTCGTTGCTTGTACTGGAGACGTAGCGCTAGTACATCACTCGATTCAGATATACTGTGGTCGTTCTTCTAAGGAAAATGACTATACCTTTCAACCATCTTATATAACCTTCGTAATGCCATTTCAAGAGTAAGGACGCGACGTAAATCTGGCATTCTGTCAGCTATACGTTTACCAATTACTACCGCTGTGCTCATCACCTGAGTGAAACCAGAAGGAGCTTGCGACGATGTCTCTGCGGTTCTCTCTAAACGTTCAGCAAACATTGGGTTACATGTGAACCACCCGAGACGAGAGCCAGGGCAGACAGTCTACATTTCCATACTGATGAGTGATGCGAAATACAGCCACCAATATCAGAAGACTGTACCTTTGAAAACGTGTCCAAACGGATTACTCGACCTTGATAATCTAACCTGAGGATAGTCAATATTGAGTAAGTGCCGAACATTGCCGGCTCCAAGGTGAACTAACTTGAGATAGCTAGGAGCGAGGCTTGCGATGAATACTTCATCATCAGTGTCCGGTTCCGCTACACGGTCAGATTTAGGGACATATTTCCCTTGCTGGAGGAAATAGTAAGGGTCGTCTTCCACAATGATGATATCTGGACAATTGCTTCATAAGGCACAAAATGAACATATAACAAAGACGGCTGACCATATTCAACACAGATATCATAAATTTCCTTCTTCCTTTGGATACCCATGGTCTAAGATAAACACCAAGATGAGAGGTTGAACGATAGCGAGGGGAAATTGCTGCATTACCGTGCCTGTGGGGTTCTGCCCAACGGGAACAGTGTACATAACATGGGGTCTATGTAGTTAAATGAGTCAAGACGGAAACACCGGAAAGATATTACCACCAACCGTGGCATTCCACGGGCTGATTCATCCCATTCAGAAAGTGTTTCACGCAAGGAGATACTGCTCATTCCCTCGCTATCCATGCCAACTGGAACAGGAATTATACCGAAAGGTTGGGCACTCTGTGGGAGAAACATTTGAACACAATAGAATAAATCGTCGTGATTGATACTCACCGCCATTGCACTAGGATATGTCCATTCACTGACAATGAGTCCCTCTCCTGGGTTAAGGATCGTCTGGACAGTTTTGAACCATGCATCTGTGTTGCCGGTATGAACCAACGTTGTCCAGTTCTTGTAAGCGGGCTGGAAAACTTTGCCCACAAATTCGCGAATAACTTCATTAAGCTTCGGTTGGCCAGTAGCCAAACCTACACAGTTAATGTAGTACCAGCCCACGCGAAAGGGTCGTATCATACTTACCATACTGTAGCCCGTTTTCCAGGTCAAGGTCGCCTGGGCGTTTAGAATATTTCCCAACAGTAAAAGTTGACGTTCTTTCTTTGTCTGACCGAGAAAACAGCTTCCAGAACCATGACAGAGACGATTCCTCGAAGTCAGTCTTCAGGGGAAACGAGTCTGGAGCCAGAATCTCGCCGGACACAGATGAAAAGGGGAAATATGCAGCATTAGGTAGACCTGATGCACCAGAGAATCATTATGGAAAACGGCTTTTGGCAAAGCAAGCAGACTTACCTCCCGCGAGGCTTATCAATCCAGGTTTGCCCATATATTTTTGCAATCCTTTCAAGGGAGAAGTGTGGCGCGCCTTCCCAACCTTGGAAAGATGGTGCGACAGGTCGAGAGCGTCTGTTGATTTCTCGTTCGACAACATCGTGAGGTGGAAGATACGGTAAGAAGATGTGTCAGGAGGAGTGCGACCTGAAGACCGGTGATATACGTGTTTATAATTTCCCCATCGGTAGGAAATCAAAATCGGCCAGTAAGCCGCTCTGACACAATCTGATAACAAGTTAGCGTATTCACAAAGAATATGAATAAGTGCAGTGAGATTTTCCGCGTGAAGATAGAGTGTTATTCTTCTATGTCTCAGGACTTGTTGAAGGTTGTTGATGAGTGGTGGTAGATCCGCTGTACAGCGACTTGTCTCGATGACAGAGTCAATGTTGGATAGCCGGGCGAGATGCCGGTACCTGATTTCAATTTTCAGGTAGCAGCTGGTGGCAGTCGCTTATTTTTGGCTCAAAGGGGGTGTCATTCTACATGATAACAAGTTTTCCAAGCCAAAGGAAACACGAAATACTATGAAGTTCAGATTATTGAAAAATAATACAAGGTGTAAATGATCTAGGCAAATATTCCAACAATCACCACCACCGCACTGGGTGCGACTTCCCTCTCACTCGTCAAGCCATGCTTTGTACACTCGTTTCATCGCGTCTTTTTTGGATGACAAATGGCTTCACAAGAGCAGGATTCTTTCATAACAGCGTGAATGAGATTAAGGAAAAACTTCAGCTTAAGCAATAGCAAACGAACCTCAAGTGAAGTCGCTGATCCCCCAAATAAGAAGCGCGATTGAAGGCGAACGTCCGAAGGTTGCCTAAACGCTGAGAGGCCTGAGCAAAGTCTGTAACAAGAGCAGTCAGAAGGCTAACAGCGAATTGTGAAGACTGTAACGTACGACACTTGTCGAAGTTTGGAGTGGGGTCCAAAGACAAGGGAATTTAATGATTTGCGACCATCTTATAGGGCTAAACAGATTGCCTATTTCGTCGGACAGGTGCAAAGTACCAGCTAAAAATGTTGGGTTGGGCAAAGTTTGATCGATAGGAGAAATTCGCGTTCCAGATGGCAAATGGACATTGAATGGATAGTATTGGAAGACTTGAAGTTGAAACTTGATTGGACCGGATAGAATCGGGTCAGGTGATCAGCCTGCCGTGAGCCGAATCCCGATGTCGACGCAGTTGAACTCTTCCATTCACGATTACACCCTCGGTCAACGGCTCTTTCTTCGAGGAGGAGGCAGAGACGTTAAGTGGACAGGAAGTGGGTGAAGTGAGCTTTAGTGAGGTGAATTGCCTGGTTTTCTCCGACGCACTGCGCAGATTTACTCATTATCTTTCAGACACGCGAGGTGCTTTGGTTAAACTTTTCCAGGGTGTATATTCGCTCACTCCCGAGTCTTAGACAAGAAGAAGTTAAGCAGAATGGCATACCAATTCTCCAGAAAGGGTTGCTTCAAATGTGGCAACTGTGTGTTCTCATTTACTCCCTTGATCTCGTTTTCCTTGACGACTCCCATTTCCAAGTGGGACACATTGCTGAGAACTGCTCTTCAGAGCAGCGTCTCTGTTATAACTGCAGGCAGCCCGGACGTACGACCCAATTCCAGAACTATTTTTCAAACATACTTGATAACTACTAGATGAATCCTCTGCTTGCCCCTCTCCCAGGACCGCTTCCGCCAAGCAATGCTATAACTGCGGCGGCGTGGGCCATATTGTTGGTAAAATGAATTATCATTCGTCATTAAAGCTTCACTTATCGTTGTTCCAGCTGAGTGTCCGAGCTTGAGGGTTCAGCAAGGTAATAATCAGAAATGTTATGTGAGTGCTTCTTTCATGAATCGGAATTCAAATGCAGAATCTTCATGGTAGAATTGTGGGCGGTTTGGTCATATTGCCCGTGTTTGTCCGAACGGAGCCGTGAAAAGCGAAGGAGCATTTACTTCACGCCCTCCTCACGGTCGCACACTCAATACCTCGACTCTGCCTCCTATTCATTGCTTCAAGTGTGGTCTTCTAAATCATCGGGCCAAGTCTGTCCTTATCAAATTACTTCTCCAGCTCCTTTTCACTCATCCTGTTTGCACAGGGATTGTCTGGCTGCTGGTCCTAGCATTGGTGATGTTCCGACCGGTCCTGCAGCAATGAACAAAAACAAGACCTGCTATCGCTGCCAGAATGAAGGCCATGTACTTTCGCTCCCTTCTCATCTGTATTCAGCACTTATTCCAATATCCTCTTAGATTGCGAGAGATTGCCCTGAGAATGCCGAATTTGCTCAGTGACTTCTTCAGAATAACTAATGGACCTTAGTTGTCATCGTGATACTTTTCTATACTAAGTTTGTATGTTCGAGAATCTGTACTCAATGAAAGAAAGAACGTTCTTTCCGACGAGGAAAGTGCACGATAATAACTGAGTTAGTCTGAGACTTTAAGTACCACAGCACGCGCGCGTTACCGAAGTCATCCATCATGATTCTCTTTCGCTGTGCACCCTCACTATCTCATGGATATGCAAGGACATTCTTTACATTACCTTCCTTGAATTCAACACTTCAAACGTTTCATGAAAGTAAAGTGTTTCAGTACGTCGCAGTTCATATCTACCACTTTAATCACCTTGGTTTTTACTGTTTTTCTTGAACAGCTATAAGAAAAAAGAGCTTTTTGATATTGTCTCAAATGTGTCAACTTACTCTCGATTCGTTCCCTTCTGCACCGGGTCGCGCATACTTAATGCATCCACGCGAAACGAGATGGAGCCCTTCACGATGGATGCGGAGCTGACGGTTGGGTTTCTTTCTTTCAACGAGAGCTACATTAGCAAGGTGACTTGTGTTCCACACAGCTCAGTGGAGGTCCGTCCGCCATCATAGCTTCTCATTATCCTGGACTGATTGCTAGTAGGCGGTCGCATCTTCCTCAACACCCTTGTTCAAAACTTTGTCGACCATTTGGCGGTTTGAGCCTTGTCCCAAAGGAAGCGGTGAAAATGATTGTCTCAACAGTACTCTAGTTACATTGGACCTTTCGTTTGCTTTTGCAAGCCCAGTTCATGCTGCAGTTTCTTCAGCATTTTTCGGACAGGTGTCAAAGCAGATGGTGCAAGCATTTGAAGATAGATGTTCGAAAGTGTATCAGAGTAAAGACAGTCATCATACAATAGTCCTTCCATAAGTTCTCTTCTGAGAAGTCAACCTTTCTTCTTTTACTCGGGACTTTGCTTTACGACCCCCCGCCACCCTCGGTGTCTGCGCCTTCATTACTGTCGCGATGTCAGGGTCCGGCAACTCTTTGGGCTCATAATTTGGATTCAACCGCCATCGCCATTCTTGAGGTTTCTTGATATCTGTGGGAACCCAGCTCACTCCACCCATTCTATATGTTACACGATCCAAACGTGGCTCGTCTCTTCGTGAAGCTCCTTGCTTAATAAATACCCTATCAATTTCACCAAGTCCCACCATTTCTGGCAGCACTGTGCATTTTAGATGCCTGTAGCCAGTTAAACACTGTCTGAGTGATGCGAGTCCGTACTCACGACATAGACCTTATAGGGTGTTTGAGTTTTGGTGGAAGGACATGGTTCGCAGGGGATCCGTCTGGGGGAAGAAAACAGTCTTTCTCTTCCTTGTCGGGAAAGCGTTCATGTATTGTGTGATAAATATCCTGTGTACGAAGGCCAAGTAGCGGATGGGGTTCCAAAACTGCGCGAACCAAATTTCTGCTCTTTTCTGAGCCGAATCGAATGAAGGTCTTGGCCTTAGCAGCTTCACGAAGAGCGCAATGAATTCGCATAGTGGAGATTCGAAACGTAGAAGGATTAAGGTCAAAGAAGCGCCCTTCATAGACCCGAGCGTAGCTTACACTTTGGAACGGCGCTCAAAGGTGTCAGCGAAATTCCACATATCACTTCTCAGCAGCGGACTGGTTCGAGTCTACGCCCATCAGCGCCCATCCGACGCAGAATTATTTGTCCTTTGGACTTTCAGATAACAATTATCAATTGAAGTGGGCTCTTGACCAACATTCATTAACAAACTACACTGTCACAAGGACTAATACTTCGAATTGACATTAGAGCTATTCAAAGTCTATGATTTTGTACACCCTTCGGTGTGAAACCAATCCTTGGGAAATGACAACGAAAGATAGCATTCATCGTACCCTTGGTTTCAATGACAATCTCTTCGTGGTTGAATGCGACCAATTTACCAGACGTCGCGAACTGAGGACCTATGGAGGAAAATCTGGTTTACGATATTGGAATCACTGTTTCAATGGATTTATGTACTGACCAGTGTCGTCTGGGACCACATGAACTATTTGATTTTTAACAAGGTTAAGCCTAGCCGCTTCGAATGCATCGAACCCAATGACATTATAGGGTTCATAGGAAGATTTGGCAATCGAATTAGCGGCTTCGGGGCCTGTGAGTGTTATTGGTGTAGGGAAGTCGTTTCGTGTGGTTTTGATGAATTTGTTCAAACGATCCAACCACTAGTATTAAGTTGAAAGAAGATGCAGGGCAGAGTCGAAGAAAACACTCGCTCTTAAAGCGTAAGGAAATCTCGCCTCAATAAACAAAGATTTAGTGTTGGGAAACCCACGAACCCAGTTGTAAGTGAAATGAATGCCGATGTCTGCGAGACTTGGAAGCTCGGTGTCGAACAACCATTCACGACCATCTTGCAGTTGTTCATTCACAAGAGCCTAGAAACAAAGTGAGCAGATTCGTCAATCATGAGAACATAGATATTTACCAGATGAGCGGACAATGCATTCATCGCCTTTCCTTGGGAATTCATCATGGCTTGAACGTTAAGATTGGGCGCAATCTACGGGACATGTCGGGAACAGCATTTACGAACAGCCTACCACTTACTGTTTGACGATCTTTCAGAAAAAAATCGGGAAAGCGATCCCATGGTAGAAGGATTGGTCCCAAGTTGAACAACACAGTGTCAGCGTAATGTTGAGTAAATGCCTTCAGAAGGCCAGTGTCTGGTGAACCTCCGCGCTTTTTTGGCGGAAAAATGGTCCCAAAACCCTGTGAGGAGGGAAAGCGTCTTTCGATCGCAGCAGCAATCAAGCTGAGGGACGTAAGATTAGTATTGAGGGAGGTCGTGGCAGAGTACGTCTATATTTAACCTGGTATCGCAGTAGATGTCGTTACCAATTGTCAGAATGGGAATGCGACGATACGTGAGGCCTAATAATTCTGTGATCTCAGGGCGAGGGAGAACATTCGCCACCTGGAAAGATACATTGTATGTGCGTAGTCGCCGACTTGATGCGTAACATAAGACCTACGGTCACAGTCGCATATGGAACATTTTTTAACATTAGAACATTATCGATCTTCACAGAAAACGGGGATGCATCATAGCTGTGTGCAGAGGTTATTGAGACACTTAGCGCAAAGACTGCGAAACTCCGACTTGCCGATACAGGATGACCCCAGGATTATAAGGGGACATGACGATGGAATGGAAAGGAAAGAAGAGGAAAGAGCAATGGCCATGTGAAAAGATTCAAAACCTGGGTGGGATTTTATCCGTTCTGAATCCGGAGTACGAAGCTCGAGCACCAGCCTTTTACAGTGTCAGATTCTATCTTGCCATCGAGAGCATTTCACCAATATGGCCTCGGATTATAAGAAACAAATTTCACTGCCATTATACTAATTTATAGTAAGTACTTAGCATTTATAGGCAGTGCTATCTGCATACGTAAGCAATTAAGGCAGTGGAGCCTCGTTGCCTCAAATTCTGTTGTTTAGCTCTTTCATTTGTTGTCCTCCGTCTTCGCCTCGTAACCACCTTCTTTGCACTTCTTCATCTTGCACACGGTTACTCCGATGGCCAACCGCCCCCCTCTTGACTCTGTGTCTTCTCATGGTAGCGACTCAACAGCATACGGGGACCCTTTCGCAGATCGTCCTCGTCAGGCGCAATTCGTAGAGCCTGAGCGCCCATACCGCAACAACAACCCACAGGCTTTTGAGAGTAGTGCTTCTATCCCTCAGGAATTTGGTGGTCGTGACTACAATGACGAAGAAGACTACATGGAGAAACAACCTTTGACTGCTGGTCAGACTTACCCAGGCGGATTTTATCCTCCGTATGTTCGGGTCCGGCTCTCTATTTCCCTGCGCTGACCTTCTCAATTAGGACGTTGGATCCCAACGCATACGGGGATCCTTACGGCCGCCCTGTTTCCGTCGCGTCTACCTCCACAAACGGTGTAGATAGCGCCTGGCGCCGACGACAAACCATCAAACGTGGTGTCACGCGCAAGGTCAAACTCACGAAGGGAAATTTCATTACAGAATATCCTGTTCCCACCCCAGTTCACAGCGCTATAGAAGCGCAGTATGCCTCAACAAACACCACTGAATTTTCGTGGGTTCTTTATTGATCATGTTCAACAATTCTCCTGATTATCGCTTGCAGACACATGAGGTATACAGCTGCTACTTGCGATCCCGATGAGTTCTCGGAGGCCAATGGCTACTCCCTAAGAACCAAAATATATGGGCGTGAAACGGAACTTTTGATTGCCGTCACCTCATACAATGAGGACAAGACTCTCTACGCACGTACTTTGCATGGTGTCATGTTGAACATCCGTGACATCTGTAAAACGAAGCAGTCCAAGTACTGGCGTCGTCAAGCTGAAGAGGGTATGCCGGGTTGGCAGAAAATCACTGTCGCCTTGATTGTTGATGGCCTTGATGCTATGGACAAGAGCGTATTGGACCTTCTCGCTACTGTCGGTGTTTATCAAGATGGTGTCATGAAGAAACAGCTTGATGGTAAAGACACTGTCGCTCATATTTTTGAGGTAAGATCGAATCATCATCTTCTGAACCTGATACAACAATTTCATTTAGTACACTACTCAACTTTCGGTTGATGCTTCACCTCAACTTGTACTGCCTCAAGCCAATGATCCCACTAATTTGGTACCAGTTCAAATTATCTTTGTCCTGAAAGCCAAGAACCAGAAGAAGATCAATTCTCACCGCTGGCTGTTCAACGCCATAGGGAAGATGTTGAACGTAAGCTGTCTATCGAGCTTCAAAAAAATCAACCGGTTGACTTAATTGCATAGCCCGAAATTTGTGTACTCATTGACGCGGGTACGAAACCTGGACACAAGTCCATCTATTATCTATGGGAGGCATTCTATAACGACCCACACCTTGGTGGCTGCTGTGGTACGCTTGGTTATGACTTCCGTTTATCATGTGCATTTCTGAAGTTTCAAATCTTACAGGTGAAATTCACGCCATGATCAAGGGTGGCAAGAAATTGTTAAATCCGTTAGTAGCTGCTCAAAATTTTGAGTACAAAATGTCAAATATCCTTGGTGTGTTTTTCATCCTTTTCAAGTGTATTGTACATGCTTAAGTCTGTCTGTTCCATCTAGACAAGCCCCTCGAAAGCAGTTTCGGATATGTTTCCGTGCTTCCCGGTGCTTTCTCTGCCTATCGTTATCGGGCAATTCTCGGCCGGCCGCTCGAGCAGTACTTTCACGGTGATCATTCTTTGGCTGACCGTTTGGGCCCGAAGGGTATTTATGGAATGAATATCTTCACCAAGAACATGTTCTTGGCTGAAGATCGTATCTTGTGCTTTGAACTGGTAGCAAAGAAAGGCGACAGATGGGTGTTGACCTATGTCAAGCCTAGTAAGGCTGAGACTGATGTCCCGGAATCTGCTGTCGAGTTGATTGGCCAACGCCGTCGTTGGTTGAATGGGTCATTCGCCGCCTCAGTGGTAATTATACTTGACCTCCAATATTCTCTTATTTTCTGCTCATGGCTACATGCAGTACGCCTTGGTCAACTTCTTCCGATTCTATCAATCCGGTCACGGAATTCTTCGTATGTTCTTCTTCCACGTTCAGGCCTTGGTGAGCGATGTACCTTCTTAATACCTCGCATCTGTTTATTAATCTTGATAACAGTACAACATATTCTCCCTCGTATTTTCGTGGTTCGCTTTAGCCAACATGTGGCTAACATTCAGTATCATCATCGACTTGCTTCCGGACCTTCCTTCAGACCCTATAATTATCTTTGGTACTGCGGAGATAGTAAGTTGAACGACTGCCCTTTCCGCAGCCTTTATTGAGCTTTGCATAGACACATTGGGTCAACCTCGGACTGAAATGGATCTATCTGGCCTTTCTAGCGTTGCAGTTTATTCTTGCACTGGGGAATCGGCCCAAAGGCGAGCGTGCAGCGTACACTATCACACTCTGGTAACTATCCCTGACAAATTTTGGCATAATTTCATCTAAGTATTACCTTTAGGGTATATGCCATTCTTGCCCTTTATCTCTTGGTTTGCTCTTTCTGGCTAACAATCAAAGCCTTCATAGTGAGTGTCCATTCCATTGTATACTGCATAAAAATTCATCTTTCTATTCCAGAACATTCCTCAATTAATCGCTTCTGATAACGGCAGTCTGGTCACTCTTTTCAAAGGGCCTGTCGGTGCTTTGGCAGCAGCCATGCTCTCAACCTTTGGTAAGGAGACGCCTCCATTATGTGTCGAAAACTTGAAGATATTAACTGAACGCCACTTAGGTATCTACTTCTTCGCGTCCTTCCTCTACGTACGTGCTACGTCACCTTGTCATTTCCGATACTGAGAGCGCTTTACCAAGCGGGACCCCTGGCATATGTTCTCTTCGTTCGGCCAATATCTGTGTCTCGCTCCTAGTTTCACTAACGTGCTCAACGTGTATGCTTTCTGCAATCTGCATGATGTGAGTAATACTATCTCTTTACATCTGAATGTCGTTGCTGATACATCCGCCAGGTTTCTTGGGGTACCAAAGGAAGTGACAAAGCCGAAGCGCTTCCTTCGGTTTCATCATCGAAAACCAAAGATGCAGACTCTCCCGTCGTAGAGGACACAACGAAAGTACAGGAAGATGTTGATGCGGCTTTCAAAGAGACTGTTACTCGTGCCATCACGAAGATCGAGGTCAAGGAAGTCATTGAGAAACCAACCATGGACGATGAAAACAAAACTTTCCGTACACGTTTGGTTTCTTTCTGGATGCTGTCCAATGCTGGGTTGGCTATTGCCATCGAAACTCTGAATGGTCTACCAGACTCAGACAGTGTTGCGACCAATGAACAGGAGTTGGAGAAGAAGCAAAATATTTATTTCCAGGTCATTCTGTACTCCACATTTGTCCTGGCCTTTGTGCGGTTCTGCGGGGTGAGTTTATCTTTGATGGTCAGGGAACCTCCTAACGCGATTGCGACATAGTGTCTCTTCTACTTCTTCAGGAGGAACTTGTTCAGGTGGTGTCGCAGGAACTAAAGTGGTTTACCACTCTCGTTCTAAATTTCTCAATCTTGTGCACGAATGATTCGGATGGACATTTAATTCTTGTAGGACTTGCATTTTTCAACTATTCCTAATTCCTTTCGTTACAATTTCCTCACTCTTCACGTCTTACTAAATAAATACAAATAGCAGTCCTTTAGTCTTTCTCATTTTTGTCCGCAGACGCTTGCTTCACAAGATCTATTTTATCATAGGCCATCTCTTCAGGAGGCTAGTTATACCAGTCGATGTGTAAAGTAATTATTCTTGGTGTGACAAAATTTAGGAATACATCGCACTATACTCATCTCGGTCGTCATTATGCGATGTGCGTCTAAGGTGGGCATCAGGACGTGAAAGGAATGCAAAAAAATCGGATGCATCCGACTGGGATTCAGGGAACTCAGGAAAGGAATCAATCCCAAATCCTTGGAGGTGTTGCAATATATTTGCAAGTTGGGAGGGATCGTAAGCATTCTCCGCCGGAGATGCGGAGGTGGAATTAGCTGAAGCATCCGCATCCCCAATTCGTTCCAGTAACGGTCGACGGCATGTTGGACACGAATCATGCTGACAGCCAACGTCAGGGGATCAATCGATTAGCGTAAACGGCCAAATACTTACTCCTTCTTTGACCCAGCGTGAAATACTACACAAAGGATGTGATTAGCGAGAACACTGGTTATCCTGGCTTGGGTCAAAAAACTCAACTCCCTTCGACAAAATATATGATTGCATTGGAATGGTTCTGCGAGTTTGGTGATCCCTAGTTCCTCTATTGGGTAAGCGGGCGAATCCATCGCAAGCCCCGTTTTTTCTTCTGCCAGTAAAGTCGTAAGAGGTAGAAAACATATTGGGCAGACCGAGTCTGCAATAAGTGCGGTTTTAGAGCGTACATACAGGGGAATGTGGATTATTCTGAATTACCTTCATGACCCAGAGCGATGATTTGTTTCTCATCAAGTCTGGGAAATTTGCTGATAATTTTGTCCATCTCCCTAGTCAAAACACGATGTTGATACAGAACGACGCGGTGAAATTTAACCTGAGATTCAGAAAGGACCTTACTCGTGTGACAGTTGTCCGAGACCTTGTCCAGATAGGTATCCAAGGATCCTTTCTCTGATATCATCGGTGCTGAGATCTGGAATTGCAGCGACATTGGGCAGGGTAGTCATGTCTGTGGAAGTAAAGGAGGTAAAGCCGCGCGTTCAGGAGAATGTCTGTGTTATTAGTAGTCGCGAATTTGGCAACTTTTGACCACGGTCAGTTGGGTTCAATTCATATGGTTCGTTAAAGATTGTACAGAATACAGAGACGATATACACAACAGCGAAATCAATGTCAAGGAACGTCGAAGGATGCACATATGGATTCCCAAATATGTGAGGAAGATGGTGAAAACAACAATGAACAGGAGCCCGCCTATACCGATGAAAGGACAATAAGAAATGTACGACCTAGAATGGGTTCTCATCATCGTTGTCGATCTCCATTTTGTGTTCTGTTGATTCCAACGGGGACGCTTGGGTCTCGGTTTCTTCTGCTTCAACATCGCTGCTGTTTTCCTCCTTCTGTGCAAACAACTGAACGGGTTTTGAAGGCCTATAAAATTAGTGAGTGATCGTAACGTCTGAAATAGAGGTGTGCTTACTTGGCAAAGTGTTTCTTCTTCACAGCATTCAGTTTCTGTGTAACGGGAGTCATGAGGTTGTCTGTTGGTGAATGGTAGGCAGCACTTCTGTTGAATCACTGTCAGTTCCTCGTCGCATCAGTGTCCCAAGACTATCGCTTACTGGCTTTTGGCCATCTTTTTCGCGAGTAATGCCTTCGCCCCCATACCTGGCACTTGATTTACGACATTTCCTAATGGTGCTTGCGGCACCACAACATGGGCTGCGTTAGCCGGGTTGTGAAGAGGCTGAATGGGTGTAGCGATGGGAGACTCGTTGGGGGATGTGGTGGCAGACATAGTGGATTTTCTGGAAGTGATGGATTTCGGTAGTATAATTTCGATGGTGGAAAGGCTGAGCAATTGAAGGTCGAAAGAAAGATGAGTAGATGTCCAGATTCCGACGCCACGAGATTTCAACCGCAAACACGTGATCGCTCAGCGCTTTTCTGGAGTCGGGACGAGTGATCCGGTTACTCTAGTTTTCGACCTTGTTTCGACCCACCCGAAGACCAGCCGAAGACGGTAGTGGCCTCAAGCTCAAGTCTACATAAGTCTTTCGCTCCAACCGCGAACCAGAGTCTCAACCTCTTTGATCTCGGAATATTTTCGGGAAGCTTCCCAGCCACTCCTCAACGTTCTCAATCGTCACGCTACTTTCTTCTAAGATCGCATGTACATTGGAGCTCGAAAAATCTTCGCTCACAGGAGAAAAATCATGTTCCAGTGTCCCTCAGTATCTCTTTTACTTGATCATGATGTTAGCCACTGTCTAATCGAACTGGAATTTTTCTCCTCGTGAGATGATCAGGTACTTGAATCCGTCAAATTTCAGGGATCTGGGCAGGATATGTACATCCCAGGATGATGATTGATGAAGCTTGAAGGTCATTGCTCTACATATCCCTAAGACTGCACCTCACTTTCTCATAACTTGCCGGCGTCTTAATCGCGAAGTACAAACATCGACCACGGACACAGTACTCGGATCAGGGACACGGTACTTTGCTGTACTTCTCCTCGTGAAACTCACCACCGGATCTTTTTGGCCTAACCGAGATGAAGGGGAAGAGGGGAATGCGACAGGGTGCGATCTTGTGCGGCGCTCCATTCTATGTACTGTTTCAGGATGACCACGGATACATAGGGAGTATATGCGCGAGTTGAGCCTATCGCGTCGTCTGAGGTCGTCTGCTGTGTACTTGTGCCTAAATGTAATACAGTCGTACGCAAAAGTTCCGCAGAGACCGAAGTTTGACATCGGTAGGATCTTACCAGCAATTCAGAAGCGCAATAATATCATACGAACTCAGAGTTTCCGGTTTATAATTCTATCCCCAGTGTGTTTACGTGCAAATGTCGTTCGGTCAGCTTCGCAACACAATCTAAGAGTTCTTCTGGCCACGAAATTTCTCCTAGAAAGAGTTATCACGCGACATCGACGAAGTCCTTTAGAGCCCTTTCCGTTGGCAGTCGAGCGTAAAGATCGAGTGCATCAAGGGCCGTGGGGAGAGTTACCTACGCAATTTACGCTCGGTTTGCAGTGCACAGCGATATTATTTATACTCTCGTCTCTTTTTAACCGGTAAGGCTTCAGCTCCAGTTCTAACCTTTACCGTCTATTTTTTCCTGAAGCCAACTCTGCTCGGCGAAATTGGAAACGAAACACCAATTCACTATCGTCACCACTTCCTTACAAAAGGCACCTTACGTCGCAAGCCAGACCAGCAGTTCCGCCCCGGTTGATTTTCACTTAGCGCTCTCATCACATTCTGTACATTATCATTATGGCCCCTGCCGAAAACCTGAAGAAGAGAAAAATCGCAGTTCTTGGTTCTCGTTCAGTTGGTAATTGTCCTCTGCTCCTTTCTACGTCATAACTTTTATAATTCTTCTCTTTCTTAGGCAAATCGTCTCTGGTTATCCAATTCATAAATAATGAATTCGTCGAATCATATTATCCCACTATTGAAGCTACCTTTGCCAAGAGTGTCAAATACAAAGGCGCAGAATATGACTGCGAGGTCATTGATACCGCCGGACAGGTAAGGCTATCCCTCAGCACTGTCGTTGAATGTAATTTTGAGCTTTGCACAGGACGAATTCTCAATCTTGAACTCTAAGCATGCTATTGGAATTCATGGATATGTCCTCGTCTACTCTGTCACCTCCAAGGCATCATTTGACATGATACAAATCGTATACGACAAAATCATTGCATTTTGTGGCGTCACAGACATTCCATGTGTTGTTGTTGGCTCAAAAGTGGATTTGGATTCGAGGTACGTCAGTACATGGCTTCGCATTGACCCGTTGAATAAATATATATCTACGTTTTGTAGCAGACAAGTGAGCCCTCAAGACGGCGAGAAGTTGGCTCAAGAAATAAACGCCGCATGGGTAGAGACTAGCGCCAAGACCAATGTTAACGTCGGTACGCAGCAGTATACTTCCTTGCTGTTGGAATCAGTTCTGATGTACGTATTTTTGTAATAGGCAAAGTGTTCGAAGTACGTGCTACCTCGTCCGTATCTTGAGTCTTGATTTTTAATGAATTTCTTTCTAGCTCTGCCTAGCAGAAATAGAGAAACGAGCTCCACAGACAGGCGAAGCTCCACAGACCAATCGTTGTGTCGTCATGTAATATCAGCACTGGACTCTTGCAACCTTCCTCATTTTTCGCCATTCCGTGTGCCATTACTCGTGGTTTCGCTAGCACTATCCACACCCCAACATGCCGACAATCTCTCCCCCGATTATGCTCTCCTTCCACTTGTATCACGTATCCTTATTCCTGGTATCTGTTTACTGTACTTGTCATCCTAATTTACATGCCTGCACTAACCATAGACGTCGACACTCATATTGTACGCACAATAGACTGCCTCTTCATGCTGCTCCATCTCCCACGTACCTGACTTGAACGCCGCGACCTTTAAGTCCGACAGCATGAATGACTTGGTCATCTCCCGGTATCAAGTCTATCGCCTGATCACTCCATTTCACGTCCTCGCCTTCTACATCAAGAACGATTCCTTTCATGGGTCGCTTCGAAGATAGCTTGACGGATTCGCCATCCGCGGATATTTCAGCGCTAAATCCGGCGTCCTTGGGAAAGTCGATGAATTTATAGGGTTCCGGCCTGTATGTCGCAGTAAGTCCTCCTCCTTGGGGATCTTGCATGTTCTCACCAATTCGAGTAGCGTGCCAGAACCGTGCCATTTTCGTCCAATAAACGGGCAGATACCACAATAATCTTCGGGACTTGACTCTTCGTAGTCCTTGGTGGTAATGCATTCACTGACCCTTTGAATATCTCAGTGCTGGAATTCGGAGAAAGGTTGACAGCTCTACAGAAGGTTCAGCACGTATCAGCGATAACAATGAAGCGCGCACTTGGTCCATCCGTCTTTGAATGTAGGATCATGAAGGTCATGATACAAGACTTCCAGAGTGACATTCTTCGCGGCCAAAGTGCTATTGGTGCCCCATACTTCGAACAAAGTATCAATCGTGAAATCCGCCGCTGATCTCTCGTCTGCAAATGTGGTGACCTCCTTCCTTGTGATACCCACGGTGTAAAGGCGAAGTTCACGCGCAATAGAGAAGTAGGCCGGCTTGGGACGAAGAAAGTAATCTGCAATGCTCCAACTGGTTGTTGGCCAGCAGTCGTTTAGCTGCCTATGCACAAAGACATCAAGGATTCCAGGGGGAAAAAACGATTGATTCGACTTGCCATACTAACGCACCCGCAGTATATTCTTTGCCTCTCCCAGCCCAGTTTCGTCGCCAAAGACGGTAGGCACTAGCGAGACACTCGGCTTGCATTATCTGCGTTGCATAAACGTAGCTACAGCACATGATTATCAAGTGCGACATGTCAGAAAGAAGATTCAGAATACATACCTTTCCATTTCAAATGAATGCTTTCAGGAAAAGTTCAGTTGTGCTCAGTGCCGAATTCACTGCGCGTGTACCTTGAAATTCTCCACGAGATACAACTCCAATCGCCTTTCGAACCCATCCGCTGAAGGTTGATCTGTTCATCACATGGCTGAATCTACGTAACTCGGAAATACCTTTATTGTGACTGTTATTGATTCGTGATTGGGGGAAACGTTCTTTAGTTTCACCCCCAAGCCAGTAGTCAACGGTGCGTATGTTGGGATACCCTTCCATTCCAAATTCCGATACAAAGCGTCCTGACAGGTTTCATGAGCAACACCGGGCGAAAACAACAACGCCTGCATCTTACCCGCTAGAATGTCCCAGTTGGTCCATGGTTCTTGGCTTCCATGCCAGACGTTCCATTGGTGTAAATCTATATTCAAGCTGCAAAAGATACGATAACTTAATAATAAAAGCAGTAATACCCACCACCCAAGGTGCGATCAGTTGAAGCCTTCCCTTGTCCACTGTAAGGAGAAGACCTATGGTAATGTATATCGGATAGGCGTCCCACAATTTCGGGTAGTACTCGTTCATATATATATCGTGCAGGGAAATTTGTTTTGCGGAAATCTGAAGTCTCGTCAGAGTAATCTAGTTCGAGGTGCATAGATTCAGCAACTTGATAGTCTGAAACATCCGTTAGGGGAGTACATAATTTGGCAAGGAAGGCAGACAATTGATACCTTCATTGTTCCCGGCAAAGATGGAAAGGGATGGATGGTGACGCAGTCGTTTCACGTTGTATTCTGCTTCATCCTTCACAAGAGCCAAGAAAGAGTCGTATGCAGGATACTGACTGCAGTGATTAGTGCAAAAGAGGGTATTTTAATACACACTAGGACGGACCTGGCCACAGCCAAACATGAAATCTTGCCTGTCACGATTTAGGCCTACATTAGACTAGTAGGGTAAAAGTTCAGAGGACCTACCACACAAGTATGCCGAGTTCTGCATTACAAAAAAACAGAAAACTTTAGGTTGTGACGATGCTCATGGAAACGGTACCCACCATCGCAAATGTCGTAAAAGGAATCGGCCTCATATATCCCTCCTCCCCATACACGTATCATGTTCTGAATACGCTCAGCATAAATGTGTTTGAAGGCCGCTCGCCGAGCCTGACTAACCTGATTTCCATCTACCAGGAGCTTAAGCCAGTCTCTATACCTATCTGGAGTCATCCTACGATCCATACGAATGACTTTCTATTGAACAAACTAAACAAGAGACTTATTCACGTTGTGAGCTACAGCAAAATCAGTATAACGTATACTGTATATTATCGAAACTCAGTACACGTACAAATGAATCACTGGGAATCCAGTTGGACCCTCCAGCAAAAATTGGGACGTTATTGACCTCGAAAAAAAAGGATAATCCCGGCTGATCAAGTAGCTTTTCCTGGACTATGAGTGTTCGCCTAAAGCCGATCGTTTGTGTTTTTGAATCCAAGAGTGTACCATCCTGACGACCCGGTCTATACGATTACATCGATGACGTTTCGACTACTCACTTCGTCGAAGAGGTCAGCTTCCACACTGTAGATGGGCTGCGTACCATATCCCACAGGATACCAGAGCTGTAGTTCTCCTTGGCTAAATGAGAATGTAGCTCGGGTCTGACCTTTGTTAGGCCGGATGTTCCTATCTGAGGCGACAATTGTGCCATCGGGAGCTTTGAGAGCGAGAGACGCTTGCCCAGGCGTGTTCTTGGCGAAAGACATTTCGACGGTCATTTTTACGTTCAGATCTTTGGAGACGTCGTTTCGTATGTCGAGGTCAGAGATCCGATTCTTGTACAATTCAAGGTAGACTGGCTTCCAAGGTCCGACAGCTAGAGATAACTTGTTGATATCGCCCTACGATGACCGTTGAAGCAAAGATGGATCGTACTCATTAAGATTGGCCCCCAGTCCCATCCGTAGCTAACAAGTTGTCAATTTGGGATATGAACTATATTCAAGCAGTGAACGTACTTATACTGTGCTTTGCGGACCTGCAGAAGGGTTCGGTTATCGCAGATTCATTTCAGTAATGATACGTACGTGAAGCCGACTACTATCACCATTCCATAGATTGAGCTTTCCGTGCTGCTTTTCGATATCACGTCCCTGTTTGAAGGATGAGATATATTCAGCACACAGTAATTGATGCAACCTTCTTGAAAGCACTGCCAAAGTTCAGCACGAGCTCGTTCTCTCCAGTCTTGAGAGTTGACTTGACGTTGAGACGATGGCCAACAAACTGATTGGCAGTTCTGGGCAAGAGAACGATTGAGACGAGGAAGAACATGAAATTCATTCTTACTCAAGGATTTGCGCTCCATTCTGTGTGGTTCATTGAATTAAAGACTCAGAAGCGGGAATAGGCTCACTAAGGTAATTGCTGCAAAAGTGTCAAGACCATCGAAGACCAGATCGATGTTTGAAAATTTAGCATTATCCTCTGAGAGTATAAATATTTGCTTGAAAATCCAATCACTTTCACCAATCCCTGTAGAATGACCATGAATGTGTAAATTTGTACCACGACTGATAGAATTTCATGTTCACTAACATTGCACGTCATGCTCATGAAGACCAACGAACTGATGCGAGGGAACTGAGCCACAAAATAATTGTCAAATGCAAAGTGCGTACTGGGTCGGGAATTCGTTTCGCTCTCAGGAGCTCGACGTGAACAGTTGTGGGTCCCGTTGCTGGTAGATATTCATCCTTCTTAGTTCCTTTGCCACCCCCAACTTGAGTGAACACCCAATTATCAAGGGGAATTTTCTTCATCCTGATGACGATTGGGAAGAAAGATATGTTCAAATTCAATACATAGCTCTGAACGAAATGCAGTTCAGCAGTTGAACTTGAAGCGTCCGGTGACGATTACAATCTCGGGCCGAATCAGTCCGACGAAGTCCCGAGCTTTACCCGGACGTTCTATTAACAGTCCAGAGAAACTATCTAAGTAGGTACGTATAATGATGATTAGAGGATATATCTATAGCCCTCTACCCCGTTATCAAGAGCTTCTTTCTTTGCGGCTGCTTTGTTCAAGTTCGCCAAATGTTTCCGGAACACCCAACACATCGCTATGCTCAGCGCATTCGCGAACGTGCAAATAAGAAATGAATGGTTATATTCAGGACCCCATTTGGTTGGCCATATGTAACTAAAGACTGGTATTAGTATTGCACCCTCTGTTTCGAAAGAATATATAACAGCCTACGATCCAAACACATTGCCCACTGATGAAACACTATTCATCAAGGCCAAAGCGACTGCTCGTTTGGCTGGAGTCTGGGAGACAGTACCACTAGCCCATGCCAGAAAGCAGATATGGCCCGTGTACGATTGTGCTATAAAAAACCTATGAAAGAGGTGGTCAATTAGGTTTTTTTTAAATGGCCCGGGGAGAATGGGAAATTCTCTCACAGAGATATGTAACGAATAGTTGCATTCATCGTGGAACGAGCTAGAGTGAAGCCTATGATTCCAATTACCATAGAAAATGTGATGTGCCAGCATCTTTCTCCAGCGTAATCTGAATGGCTGTCACTGATATCAGTTAAGATCATCAGATATAGAAGAAATTATTTGACCGGGAAACAGTGATGGCGATTGCAGTGGCTACGAACCACGGAGGGGCGCAAAGCAGAAGGGTGACGGTGGGACTGTATCCGATGGTAGCCATTATACTTGGAAAATATGCATTCCATGATAAGGAGAAGGTCAAACTGGCTAAAGTGGCTGCGAGCCACCACACCTTAGGGTCGCTTACAGCGGATCGCAATCCATCCAGCTGGGTTTTCAGTTGATTGTGATCACCAGATGTGGATGAATAATGATTCTCTTCTTGCATCCGCTGCATCGCAAGTGTTCGTTCAGCAGGACTGAGCCATCCAGAGGATGTTTCCGGAAAATCGGGAAGAATAAAGGCCGCACATAGCGCGACGAAGACCGTAAGACCCCCTTCTATGAAGAACAACCATCTCCAAGTTGCGACGCCGAGGTTATTGTCCATAAGACCAAGAATTCCTGAAGCGATCAGTGACCCAGTTGCGCTGGCAATCAAGCTACCCGAAGAAAGATAAGCAGTTCTTTGAGACAGTTCATTGCGTTTGTACCACTTTGAAATAAGGAACTTGAGCCGAAAGACGCGTGAGCGATGGAGGAAGATCGTAGCAAAAATTGAAAACTTACTAACGCTCCTGGGAAGAACGCAGCCTCTACGAATCCAAGAAAGAACCGCGTACAAAGTACACCGAAGTAACTAAGAATACTGAGTTGCAATCCTGGCCCTATCAGTACATTGCAACATACGTGGTAGCAGCACCAGTAAGGCATGACATTATTCCCCATACAGCCTGTACAAGAGTGTCAGCGTATGCCATTAGTGTTCGAAAGGCGTGTATACCATGCATCCGGGTAGATACAGTGAAGGTCTACCAATGTAGTTCAAGGCCATATTGCTAGGGATTTGGAGAATGATATAGCCTATATATAAGATGGACAAAACGGTAGCAAACTGCGACCCATTTAGATGGAGGTCTTCCTCGAAACCGCGCAGACGGGCAGCGCTGAGAACAGTTGAATCATGAAAGTCTTTGTGAATGACCAAAGAGGACATACGCCACATTATTTCTGTCAATGTCTGGTCAAATTGAGTGAAAATTACTCGCGTTAACATAAGGACACAACTCACAATTCAGCACATAAATCAGTATGAGAATCGACAGTTTAGTGTCCAGTTTTCGCAGTAAATTACGTTCCAGCTTTTCCCTGAGCTCCGCATTGCCGAAAGATGCTCTAGTATCATCTGAATCTTGAAGTACAAAGGCTTCTTCTGTCGGCAAACAATCAGTGATTATAGCATCGATGAAATTCCGAAGCTGACCGGCGGAGTGGTGGGGTAAGAGAGGGCTGATTTCGCCAGTTGTTCGAGTCTCAATAGCAGATGAAGCATGATACATATGAGTGGAAGGTCTAGAATATCTGCAGTGGAATTTAGAAGTGCAAAAGGTTGAAGGCTTTCCCATGCTATAGTATTTACATACATAATTGCTTTCCTCCCTTTGATATACCGTTCATAGTAATCAGTATGGGCACTGTAGTTCTTTCTCCTCCTTCTACTCCTGCAGAATATTTCAGAATAGTTTCTCCAACCCTTCAAATTCCATCGCCTGGTACTGGTATCAGTGTCCCTGTTGGAATTTTGGCCTGTCAACGTGCTTCCACGTTTTTGTACATCTTCGTCTTGAACTAATCGATTTGCCATAGGTGATCCTTTCTTAAAAAAGATAGAAACAATTGTGATTGCATGTACTGTATCTCAGCCGCCATCAACTCCCGCAGGCAAGAAAACCAAGAAGGCAGTATCTGCTCCAACTCTTCCCAATGAACCGATCTTAGAGGTCATTCTGCATGACACAGTAATCTTTCCGGAAGGAGGCGGTCAACCTACTGATACTGGTGTTATCACTACCTCAGATGGCAAGACGTGGTCTGTTTTGCAAGCCAAGCGAAATGGAGGGCATGCTGTGCACTATGTCAAGGTCGAGGGGGGAGATTTGGAATCGGCTTTGTTAGTCTTCACTCCTGGGTCTACGGTCACTGCAGCCTTAGGACAAGATGATTATGATAGAAGATATGATCATGTACGTTTGTTGAGACCTGCAGATCTACTAAGAGTGTATTCAGATACTTTGCAGATGTCTATGCATACCTCTCAGCATCTTCTTTCTGCTCTCCTAGAAACTCGATTGAATCTTCCTACTCTGTCCTGGTCTCTAACAAACGCCCCATCTCCCTGTTATATCGAAGTTCCTCATGGAATGACTGTTGAAGAAATTAGGTTCATCCAGTCGGAAGCCAATCGTCTAGTATTTGAAGGCAGACAAGTCCATACCGAAGTGGAAGAGCTTGATCGGGATAAGAAAGCCGCTCCAGTTGTGATAGGTGGTAGATCTGTTGGAAAAGGTTTGCCCTCAGATTATACGGGTGGAGTGAATCGAGTTGTCGTTATTGATGGCGTGGACCGAAATCCGTGAGCAATCTTCATTCGGGGATTTCTATACCATGTATACCTAAATATTTACTCCAGATGCTGTGGAACTCATCTGCCAACTATCCATAACCTTCAGCTCTTCCTCCTTCCGCATACCGATACCATGTCGCGCTCCAACACTACATCCGCTCGGCTATATTTTTTATCTGGCCCTCGCCTGATTAACTATCTGACTTCCGCACACGACCTTCTGACCAGTACCGCCTCTATCTTAAGCTGTGGTGCACCGTTGGTACCGGAGCGTGTATCTCAAGTAGTGGATGAGCGAAAGAAATCTGAAAAGCACATCACGGATTTGGAATTGGAGTTAGCGAAACGTATTAGCGCCGAATTATCATCTGAAGCTACAGTTGGATCTGGAAATGACGGCTACATTTTCAGAAAACATCTTCATCGCACTGACGATGGTGGTAATGTTCTCGGGTTTTTATCTGCCATCTCAGTTGCTTTCTCTGAGCAAATGGCACATTCTCAGATTCCCTACTTACTCGTTTTTACCTCAACTCCTTCAGCGCAGATAACAAGCAGTACTACTGTGGTCATGGTTGTAGGTTCTGATGATAAGGAGGTTAAAACGATTGGAGAATATCTCAAATCACAATTGGGGGTGAAAGGCGGGGGAAAGGGACTAAAGTGGAGTGGTAAATATACCGGGGTCTGGAAAGAGAAGAATGAAGGCGAGAGAGTGAACCACATACTCAACAATGTTCAATAGAGTAACTTTAGCTGCGATACATAAAATTGATCTTGATTCAGTATGCAAGATAGTTAATATGCTTTATTCAGAGCTCTTAAAAATAAATCTCCGAGTATTATTTCTCATCCTCGTCCGAAAAGTCAATGTCAAGATTAGTGTCTGCATCCTGTTGAATAATGACATTGTCGTCTATAACCACGGAGTCATGAGGTAAGCTAAGCCAGTATTCTCCAGAGGACGAAGACAGACTTACCACTGTGAGTAGGAGCTGAGTCACTTTCGAAGCTAATATCACCGTCTGAATTTGAGAGGGAATCTCCATCGGTCAGACCCCATTCCGAAGATACATCCTCGATATTGTCCTCGACATCAGTAGGCTCCCAATTTTGATATATATCCAAGTCCACCTCCTCCATTTCAAAGTCAAATTCGTCCGCTTCGAGCATGTCATCGGTATCGAGCAGATACAAATCTTCTTCCTCTTCGTCCTCTTCAGTTGGAAGATATTCACCGCCGTCGGAGGACTCTCCATCCGAGTCTGAAGGCGGTCGGATATCGAGGAAAACACGCCGGCAAGATGGACAACTTCCATGCTGAGGTAGATAGGACAGGGGTCAATTCTTGTGTCAGGAACAAAGGGTAAGCAAAAGGCGTTATGCACCATGTTCCGTATCCATTCAGTCAAGCTACAACGATGTATAAGCAGTAGTGGCTGAAGATCTGAGAAAGCACAGACTCATTCCGACAAAATATATGCCGACAAGATGGCAGCATCGTAACCCCTCCTAAAGGTATTTCAGTTGACATGTCTTTGAAGATATCTTCGAAGGATACGAGGCATATTGGGCAGCAAAGATCCTCTGGAACACTGTCTTTGACGAGAGAAGGAAGGGATTCAATGAAGTCATTGATTAAGTCGAGGTGATCCATAGTATGAAATGTGGTATTATCTGGTATTATGCTGTTAAGTAAGGTGGATTGAGGACACCCAATAGAGCCTACAGTCTACTTGAGCGACGTAGTGCTATAGGGTGTACAGAGGCTGAGTTGTTCCAGAAAGCCGGGTCCACGTCCTCAATGGACTGGGATGCAACCGAAGTGAACGTTGTTCAATTGATTGTTGATCCGCAAGACGCGTCGAGTAGGATCACGCGCTGACACGTGCTTGCTACAACTGTTATACTCAACTGCCCAGTGGGCCAGTGCCACTGGGTTTAGCCGCCTGACACTCCAATTGACTCCAATATACTCAAAAGAACTTAAAAGAAGACGCAATGGAACCGAAGATTCCCCTTTTTCCCCTGGGGACCTACTTTCCTTCCTACCCACCATGAGCGATTACACTGGCGCTGACGAGGAAAAAGCTGAAATCACTGAAACTACAGCTTCCGTCGACGAGAGCGACCCCGATGCGAAATTTGGAGGTCGGGAGGCGCGATTAGCCCTGGAACGCAAGTTGTTATGGAAGATCGATTTGAGGATACTCGGCGTGCTCGTCCCAATCTATATCCTCAACTATGTATGTGCGGATCAATATGTACTGCAGCCGTCTTCTAATGAGCAGCATAGGTGGACAGGAACAACGCTGGGTATGTACCCAGGAAGGATACTGACATTAGTTATTCTTACTCGTAGACCATAGAGCGGCTCGCCTGCGAGGTTTCGAGACTGATCTGCATCTCAAAGGTCAGGAATTCGCTACATTGGTAAACCGCATATTCTGTTTTCGAATAATTGGCTGATCCTACTGTACAAGTAGCTCTCAATCCTTTACGTCGGATATATCATAATGCAGATACCTTCAAACATGTTCCTTAACTATATCGGCAAACCATCTCTATATCTACCAGGTTGCATGGTAAGTAGCAGTACATCAAAGATCGATTTGCATTCACAGTCATTCTTAGGCAGTGTGGGGGGTCAGTCCATCTTAAGCAGATATAGTGAACTTCCAGTGACATATTCTACAAGATGATATCGTGTCTGACAGGTGAAGACAAAAGAAAATGCCTTACAAATTGTTGACCGAGTAAAATTTCCAGGTATCACGAACAAGTATGTACCGCTTTTATTCAATGACCACGCTTGCCTGATAAATCTTACTGCAGCTTTGTCGGCGCTTTGTTAACGCGGTTTTTTCTCGGGTTCGTGGAAGCTGCATTCTTCCCTGGAGCCCTGTTTCTTCTATCCAAAGTATATATTTCTTGCTCCGACTTCGACTTATACTGGATCATTAATCTTCGCTCAGTGGTACAAGCGCGAGGAGATTGGTCGACGAACTGCTATCTTATATTGTGGAAATCTGATATCGAACGCGTTTGGTAAGGTTTATCTGTATAATGGCCCGAGACAATCACTGAATTACCTCTCCTGGTAGGCTCTCTCATGGCATCGGGTATCCTAAGTGGGATGCAAGGTACCCTTGGACATGCGGCTTGGAGGTAGGAAACCTTCAATTGTTGATTTTTGAAACGCTTAGTACATTCTTTTGTAGATGGTTGTTCTACATTGAAGGATCTCTTACAGTATTCGTCGCCATTTGCGCTATGTTCATATTACCGGACTTTCCTACTACGACGAAATGGTTAACACCTTCGGAACGAACACTAGCTGTGCAACGAATGAAAGAAGATGCCGGTGTCGGAGATCAGGGAGAAACTGAGGTCGGCGGGCAAAGCTCGGGTTTAGTGCAGGCCCTCAGTGACTGGAGAGTATGGTGGATGTCTCTTGCTATGACCGCGCAGGTATGTAATATTAATTCGATTGGCAAATCCTTATGAACCTGTTGTAACGCAGGTCGTCTCACTGAGTTTCAACGCCTATTTCCCTACTTTAAGGTCGGAGAAAACTTTTGGTTCGTTAACCAAGGGAAAACTAAACATTCAGCGTAGTGCAACATTGGGCTTCAACAATACTGTGACGCTTTTGTTGTGCGCCCCTCCATTTGCGTTCGCTTCGCTGGCCGCATTCTTCCTATCACGGTGCGTTTCTTCCATGGTGACTGTACCGTTGTTAAAATACAACCGAAATAAGGCATTCGGACCAAACGAAGGAGCGATTTTGGCATGTCGCGTCTTCATTTGGCTTAGGCATAGTAGGGTTTATCATTGCAATCGGCACCATGAACACAGCGGCTCGTTATGTTTCACTGTAAGTACAATTGCATTTCTTGTCTTCTTGTGGTGACCTGTCTTTCAGCTTCTTAATGGCTCAATCTTACGCGGGATTTGTGGTAGTTTATGCATGGATCAGCAATTCTTTCCCTCGACCCCCCTCCAAACGGGCTGTTGCTTTAGCCTTGATGAATGCCTTTTCGCAACTGGGAAACGTCGCTGGGTCGTATGTATTTCCTACGATGTGGGGACCGACGTATCGAAACTCTTATGGGATCTGCATCGCATGTGCCGGGGTGGGCATTGTCATGTGTTGGGTCTTTAAAATGAGCTTGACCCGTTTGAATGAAAAGATGGAGAGAGAGGAGAGGGAGAAAGGCATCACAGAGGAAGGCTTTAGATATATCGTATGAAAAATAGTTAAATATAGTATGGTTACAATTATGAGACTTGGTTATGAGTCACTCACTATAGTGCTGATGTTGCGAAGTGTTGCGACTGTCACACCGTGTCACCTATTGTAACGTGCCAACTGCCTTTCCTGCCTTCTGCCATAAAATTACAATGCTCCACCGAGCTGTTGAAGACGTATCTACGGGTTCTGATTCCGACTATTCCAGGTTCGTGCGACTATCACTGCAAGTTTAGCCATTGGATTGACTTTCTTTCATCGCAGCTCGGTACGCGCTCAAAACACCCTTTTTGACAGATGTCCACGACTTAATCCTATATGCAGTGGATCTCATGGTTTCTATCTTCGAAAGGGAATGAATACTTCTGTGAAGTTGATGAAGACTTTATCCTGGATAGATTCAACCTGACTGGCTTAAACAACGAGGTTACAAATTACACACAGGCCCTCGATTTGATCACAGACCAGCTCGGTATGCGTCATTATGCTCCAGGTCAATAAAATAACTGACCCAACAAACAGATGATGATATCCAGGATGAATCGCGCGGAAATTTGGATGTTCAGGCTAGACTTCTATACGGTCTCATTCATGCACGATGGATTGTGACTGCTCGAGGGCTGACCAAGATGGTGCGTGCCCTAACGTTTTATTCAAGGTTATTTATCTCAGTCCGTACAGATTGAAAAGTATAAACGTGCAGAATTTGGTCGATGCCCACGCGTGATGTGCCAACTTCAACCTCTTCTTCCGGTCGGCTTAACCGACATCCCCTACGAAAAATCAGTCAAACTTTACTGTGGCCGCTGCGAGGATCTTTACTCTCCCAAATCGTCCCGGCATGGATCCATCGACGGAGCTTATTTCGGCACTACCTTTCCTCACCTACTTTTCCTCGTTTACCCCACATTGATACCACCGAAGACTGGCCAGACTGACATTGGCGCTAGCTCTACGTCTGGAAGCGGAAATAGAGAGGGAGAGAACAGAATTAGGCGACGCCTACGCGAGGACATGGATCCCGCTATCGCTGAAGGCGGGGGAGAGAACATCAGTACTGCAAGCGTTGCTATGAAGGCTGAGAGGTATAAGCCACGAATCTATGGGTTCCAGCTTAATGAGACTGCAAAACTTCAGAGGTGGCAGGAGGCTGTCAGGGATAGGTAAGTTTTGAGTTTTACTCAGTACTACTTTCTGACTGGTCTGGAACTTAATAGACAAGTTGCTCGTCTAGAAGAATTAGAGGAAAGAGGCTCATAAACAGTGTATGCAATATTTCTCTTTATGGCCCCTATCACAGCACTATGGTGGCCTGATCTGTGTCTTAAGTGTCTTATTTAATTATTGGTCGTGTGTACGTGCTCTCAGAGGTTTAGCTATTCTAGTGCCCATTGTTCGAGAAGCAATAGCCCAAATGATGCAAATGATGATAACTCCGGAGATGCTTCTGCCTTCGAGAGGAGGCGATGTGTCGGTGAAACCCCAACCTTCACCCGGAACTCGTTCTGGTAAACGTCTCGAACGGAACCGTTAGAGGCTGGGAAGGTCAAGAACGGAAAGCTGATGGGCGTGCTGGACTCGAATAGAGCATTGACTAATGTAATGCAATCTGTAGTATCGAAAAAGATTGTTTTCTGCTACACATATTGAACGGACATTATCCAGTCCTTCTTCAGCGTATACCCGTCCAATGCTTCCTTTGCCACAGTTGCAAGCTCTGCTGACTCGAATATTACTTGGGCCATTTTGACCGGAGATCCAACAGCATTTGGGGTCGGCGACATGGACACATGTGTAGATTGGTATCCTTGATACCTACAAGCCATACTTAAAAGCGGAAGGGACATGAACGAGATAGAGGACGGACATACTGTTGAAAAAGAACAGAAAGAACACTGTCTGAAACCTCAAGCGGCAGATTTGTACAGAAAAGTCGGGGCGTAGGATAATCCACCAGTGCAGGAATTACACCTGTGAAATAGTGAGTACATTCAGCAGGTATACCCGCGTATCGCAGCAAGAGCATACCTGGAGCTACTACACTATTCAATCGAGAATCATTGTCATCATCGTCTTCATCATCGTCAATCTCCATTTCATCATCTGATTCTGCCTTCTCTCGTTTTGTTTGCCTCCCAATTTCATCGTCTGCTTCCCGCTGGCGCTTCTTATCTTTTTCCAAAGCACCATCCCTGATTAAAGAACTCGCATTGGCGGCATTTGGAGGCACAAAATTTGGATCATCTTTACGTGAAGTTGCGTATGACTTAGTTTTCGCGTAGTCAATGTGCTACACGATCAAATTTAGTAAATAGGTCCTCAAGATATAAGCTACATGAAATACCATGGGCTTATCATAGAACAGCATCCCCTCGCAAGCACGCATAGCTGTAGTTGCACCAGCAAGATCGTTGAAAACGAGGAAAGCCTGGCCCTTCTTCTTTGGACCTTTAGAGGCGACAACGTCGATGACCTTACCATATGTGGTGAACAGTGCAAGAAGCTGAAGACGTAGCTCATCCTTGTGTACTTTGTCGTTGAGATTGTTGATATAAAGGGTGCTGTTTGGTTGATTCGACGCCATTATCACGATTAGTGATAGAAGAAAATGAACAAAGATGGATGAACCAATTCGCGATGGGTATGTAGACCCTGGGAAAAACTGGACGCGTCGTGGTTTCTCAACAAAATTTTTGTTGGGTACATAACCTTGGTTGGTTCGTGGCCTGTGTGGAACGTCGCCGTCAGCAATCTCTCTACGAGTCACGCCTCTACGATGGACTTGTCCCAAAAGCTTCCGCAATACCTCCTTCCCTTTTTTTCATTGTCCTCTCCGACAGACACTCCAGCAAATCCCGACTCTTTTCCAAACTCACAGCATTACAGGACGGACCCGAAAGATTTGTGGCTCGTCATAACCATCATTGCTGTATATGCTATCCTTCGGGATGCTCTTCGTCTCGGAGTTTTCGAGCCGTTCGCGAGATGGAAGCTATCCAGAGATATCCAGTTGCAGCGCAAACATACTGGCAAACCAAATGGCAATACCAGCGTGTCCACAAACGGGAACGGTTATTCCAACTCAAAGCTCATCCCCACAAAGGCTGAACGCCGTAAATTACACCGCAGTGTGCTTAGGTTCGCAGAGCAGGGTTGGTCCGTGGTGTACTATACCCTGCAATGGGGATTCGGACTGGTAGGCTGCTCGATGCGTTTTTTTTCGGCACTAACATCCTTCTTTCTAGTATGTTTATAGGAATCTCCCCACCAGAGTGCTCGACCCTGTTGACGCCTGGATTGGCTACCCTCATGTTGCTCTCGCCGCTCCTGTCAAAATATACTACCTCACTCAACTTGCTTTCTACTTACACCAAATGTTAATTCTCAATGCCGAGGCTCGACGAAAAGATCATGTCCAGATGATGACCCATCATATTATCACCGTTTTCCTCATGTGGGCAAGCTATTACTACAACCTCACCCGTATTGGGTGCCTCATTATGCTCCTCATGGATCTGTGCGATATATTCTTACCAGTACGTCCATACTTTGATGCTTTCACTTATTTTCTCATGTTCGTGCTTGAAGCTGGCCAAAATGCTGCGGTATCTGAACTTACCTCAAATTTATCCTGACTTGACTTTTGGCACGTTCATGCTTACATGGTTCGTTACACGACACGTATTATTCCCTATCGCCATCAAGTCCACCATCTTCGATATGCGGCGTCTAATCCCTTTCGACTGGGACCCAGAACGCGGTTATTATCATACATTGGGTTCTCATACCATGTTTTACCTTTGTTTGCTTGTATTAGAGGTGAGTCAATTCTCATTGTAGTTGCTGAGTATCAATGTGTCCCGTACAGTTTATACAAATGATCTGGTTCACAATGATAGTCCGCGTTGCTTGGAAAGTTGTAACTGGCGAAGGCGCAACTGATGTTCGGAGTGACGAAGAAGGGTATGAGCCGAGTTGTGTCCTCCATCACATGCGTATCATACTGACGGATATCATGATACTGTGCAGGGAAGATGAAGACGATTCAGGCGACATCAAAAATAAGGAAGAGTAGTGAATCCTACTGAACTATGGCTAGGACTTATTGCTCGAAGCCGTTCTTGCTTGCGATACCTTAGATGAATACTTGCTAATTATATTTGGCCATGTCCAACCGATACCACCGAAGCACTCTTCCCTACGCGTCAGTGCAGCTGCAGGACCGAAATCACCGATGATCCTTTAAATTTGTCTTGTATTTCTGATCAAGCAAGCAGTATCGATTGTTTACCGTTGAACTATACTTACTCCTGCGTTGAGACCTTAGTACGATGCTCGAGGAAGGACTCAGAATATGTCATTAGGTCTAAGTATTCTGTAATCGTCGTCCAATACCTCAACTTGTGAGTAGTGACTGAAGCTAAAAGTTCAAAGACGCGCGCGTGAAGTGTTAGCGTCACATGCTAATTGTATGACGTGACAACGTTATTTCCTTATCAAGAACATCTTGCTATCACACCTCACACTGGTTCTACTTACGGGCATACGCCGCAGCGACCACTTCCCTGCCAACGCTACGAGTCCAAACATTTCTCTTTAACTTCACCATCATGTCTTTTATGAGCTGGTTCGGTACACGCAGAGACCCCAGACAGTCTGCTCGAGATGCGATCATTGGCCTACGACAGCAACTTCAAATGATAGACAGGAAGGAGGATTATCTGCTAAAGAAGATTGAGGAAGAGGTCAAGAAGGCAAAAGCAAATGCCGTAACGAACAAAGCAGGTTTGGAGCTGTTGTCCTTGAATGTCATTGACGATCGTCGACTCAGCTTGTGGATAAACAGTTGCTACAGCAGCCCTGAGGCGCAAGAAGGCGAGCGAGGCGGAGCTTGATAAGCTACATGGAACACGGCTACAGCTGGAGATGCAAGTCAACACATTGGAGTCTGCTAATATGAACGCAGAGACGATGGCTGCAATGAAGAAAGCAGCGGATGCACTCAAGGTGATACACGGAAACATGTAAGCAGAACTTCCTTCTATATGCCTTGTTGCTACTAGTGCTAATAATCCGCTGCACTGTTTAGGACGGTCGACCAAGTGGATGCAACGATGAACGAAGTCAATGCGCAACGGGAGGTTGCTCAAGAGATTTCAGAAATAATATCGAGTCCTTCCGCCTTAGGCGACGTGGATGAAGTCAGTTTCTTGACTATCAATTATCAATTTCGGGCTTATACGCTTGCCACAGGATGAACTATTGCAGGAGCTCAACGACCTAGAACAAGAACAATTAGACGAACGATTACGGGGAGCAGATCATGTCCCGTTACATCGACCTCATATCGCTGAGGAACCGGGTGTGTATCTGACCATAATATCGTTGTATTTCTTGACAAACTCAGCTCTTCTTAGAAGCCATCGACGAGGAGGAAGAACTCAGACAATTACAAGCTTCAATGGCTATGTAACTCCTTCATTTAACCACCCTTTTTCCTTCATCTGTATTTCGCATTGTACCTTTTTGGTTTTCGTTATCTACTTACGAATGATCACCACTGAGAATGTTTAAGTTATCATAATGTATCACAATATGAATTCAACACGCGCACTACACGAACTGTGAGTGAGTTACTTCTGGAGTAACATCGAGAGCAAGCAGATCAATGATAGCGAGGAGTAAATATACAAGACACTTTAGATTAATCGTAACATGCGATGGTATCTGTAATGCAGTATGAAGAAAAGCCCAAGAAAAATTCTACTTAAAGAACAGCGAGGTAAATGCTATGAGCGACCACGACTTCCAGTCGCATTGCGCAGTCCAAGCACTCGACGTACATCCGAAGTGAAGCGTAAAGAGTCCAAGACAGGAAGCAAATCTAGCAAAGCCTCGTCAGATGGATCATGAGTCCATCCCTCTATAGGTATGCCATTAGCTGTGGAATTGATTAGAGTCTGCGTAGCTCAAGGAACAATATTATCTACTTGCCTTCATTAACTCTGTAACTAATCGGTGAATTGTCGATGAGGCAAACACGTGCAAGGTCGGGCTCAACGACGGCAAGGTCTTTAGTGTAGGAGCCGTTCGGTAATTGGGTACATGACTACATAGTGTTCAAAAGGGACGCAATGAGACATTAAACATAACGGAACTTACGTCTCTGAACAATCGATGGTCAAGAATGCCTCGTCCAGCATCTAACCAGTCAATGACTGGATCTGCATATTCTTGCATAGACGCGGTGAAGATCACCAGTGTATACCAGCCAGAAACCTTGGAACGAATCGATTAGCGGTGAATCAAGGTTGTAGTTAATGATATACGCACTGTTCTGAGAAAGAAATCGACGAATGGCCGTTTGTATACGTGGTAGAGAGTACTCCTTCCGCCCAACATGACCTCAACAACATGGCCCGGACCACCTTTCCGAGCACCGAAACCGAAAAGGCCAGAGCTGTTGGCAGTGCTAATGGGTCGAGTCGTAGAATGAATGAGAGTTTCGTCGAGATCAAGAACAAGCGTTTTCTGCGCATGAAAGGGCGTTTTCCGCGTTCCCGGTGTTGGTGTAGCTGACCGTGTGCTGGAAACTGAATCGGAAGGAGGATGGACTGTGATAGATGGGGTGCGTAGCTTCGATTCGAGTGGTATTGGGTCGGAATCGGAACTGGTGGAGGATGTTAATGAAGTGAAACTGCGAGCAGTCGGTGGGGGTGAGTCGTCGTCAGAGCTCTCAGAGCTTTCTTCTAATAACAGAGATTTCTCCTCCGGGGCCGGAACTTTGTTGATGCTTTGTCGCAGCAGTCCTCCGTGAATTAATGAAGTCCACGCTGCACGAAATGAATCCCATGCTAATGCCAGGACCCTGAGGTAGAATATTCTGCTGATCAGGGATTCTGCGTGTTTCTGGCGTTTGTTTTCGGTCACGGAAATGGCCGTCGTTGCGAGAGTAGAGACTGTGGGCGATGAGCGAGAGCGCTTCGGATGTGCCGATGAGCTCGCGCCCTGGACGAGGAAGGATCTAGTGGACCACGTCTTGACTCGCTTTAGAGGTGGTTCAGAGGAGGAAGCGAGCTGTCGAAATTCTTCTTTCGTTGGGGTTGATGGAAGTGTCTTTGGGGAGGCCAATACATCGAACTGGCGAGAAAGGTATTTCAGGGAGTTCATCTCTTTCTCCGCAACCCCAGCCACTCGGGCAGCCCAGTTATTCGTTTCAGACGGTGGTACGCAGCCGAAGAGGAGTTTCAGTAGCTGGTTGAAAGTAACAGAGCCATCGTTCAACACGCGACGGATCCAGATGGTTTATCCCGGATATTGATTACACTATAGAATAATTTCTCACATACTACAAACGTTCCTTGAATCCTTCGATAATTGTACAGCGATCTTCTGGATTTTAGTCATACATTATACACCATTCCAAACTCTGGAGATAATCTTCATCTAACTCCTGTGTGGGATTTGGCAGAAGCTTCAAAATTGTCAGCAACTACTTTGTTTAAGCACCGAGTACATGTCCGCCGATGTATTCTCACAGCTAGCATGCGTAGCTGTAGGTGCCAGATTACATCGTCGGACAGCATCGGATTAGAAAGCCTTCGTCGCTAACCTGCGGTTCCAGTGCTTTTGCAGTTGGTTTATAGTCCCATATTACTTTGTAGAACGTCTGCTCTAACCTTAAGAAACATAAAATGTATTGACATAGATCGACCTACCCAAGTAACTATTGCCGCCCCTGCAATGCTCATCAAAGAAGATGTTATAGGTCCTGGACCGGGATATTGTCTTGGTGGCGCAGCACGAAGCACACCGTAGCCCCTCGAACCACGACGATATGCAGTCAAAGCTATTGGGCGGCGAGCAATCGGTAGGAGTGAAAGCATTGTGCTGATGATGTTGTGCAGAGACTCCAAAAGACACGACCATTATATGACCATTGTAAAGCACCAGGTCGCGTCTGGAATTAGCTCGAGCTTGAATATGCCCTGCTGGAGATTCTGGGCCTTGACCTAGACTGTAACCACGACTTACGGGATTCCGACCTCTTTACAGCTCTTCTTCATCACAAAGTCCAAGGTGATCATTGCCACGAATACCATAGCGGTCTAAAGTACTAGGACTCAAATTATCGGATTAGAGTAGAGTGGTCCAGGTTTGAAGAAGGCGGAAGATGCCTCAGCCCAGAGGGTTTGGTTGTGAGCCTGTGGAGTACCAAGTTCGAGGAAGATCCCTGCGCAGAGTCATGTCTTGGTATGTACACAGTGCAAGCTTCCAAATTAAGGATAGAAATTGGCAGGAAATTGGAGATCAAATTGGAGATCATTTGTGTTTCTCACGAATCAAAGCTCATCATCTTTTTCCCCGGGCCATGTCAGAAAGACCAAAACGAGCAGTTCGTAAACCTGCACGATTGTTAGATGAGGTCGCGAACTCTACTCCTCCAAGAACCAAGCGGAAAGCTCAACAACTCGCCATAGATGACAATGCTCTAGATGCATTGTTGACAAATCCCAAGAGTACTTTGACAAGCATGGATATTTCAGTACGTATATATACTGGCATCTTTCTTTCTTTCAGCTAAATAGTGACATTGTACATTAGGATCTCATCAATGCTAATACATGGGCATTTCTCTCTGATGCATCGAAAGCTCATTTGGCAAAGCTTCTTCCACCAACCGCATTTTCTGACTACCAAAGGACCATCGACCCAGATCATCCTTCTTCAAGTAGGAAAGACGTAGACCCAAATGCCATGGTTATTGACATCCCACAAGACCCGCTAAGCAGCTATGAAGCGGATCGGGTGCTCCCCTCTGTGTTCACAGATCCGCATTTCCTAGCTGCCGCACACACATTCCAAGACCACTTGTATTCTGGTTGGTTGAAGGATGACTTCAAAGCCAAGGTAGCTAAATATGAGGAGGGTATCAGGAATGGGACTCTGGCTGCTCCTTGGAAGGATCAGGAATGGGAAAAGGAACATGCCATGCTCGAGAACGACGCGTTGACATCATCCAAGCCCCGCAGTACTGGCCCGGGCGGAGCTATTAAAGCAGGGTAAGCTTTCACGCAAATCATCCAGTTCTGCAGATATTCACAATGTCAATTGTTACTTAGACATGCATCAGACGTAAGGATATACGATCTTGCTAAGAACACTGTCATTCAAGTGGGAGACATCATTTCGTACAAACGGAATTTCACTATGCTCGATGTTACAGTGGAGAAAGACGTGCTGGTCAGTGGTATAGTCATATTCTTCCGACTGTTAGCACTTAGATCAAAGCCTAACCAACACAGGTTCAATCCCTGAACACACGAGCGCGTTCGTTGACTGTTTTGCTGGAGTCTGGGCCTACGCAACATCTACCGTCATATCTCCTCATGCCTGATGCTCCGGATCCAGTGCCTCCCACACAAAGTATGGAGATCACGTCACCGACAATGCTCGAGACTGGAATCCTTGATCTTGACGGCCGAGTTGAACGAGGTAAAAGGCCAAATGGAAATGCTTGGAAGGTCCTTACCGTATATCGCTGGAGGGAGGATGGTGTATCATCAATGGATGATAACAGGGGAGGACAGGAGAGTCATGGCACCCTGCACTATCTTAGAAACAGTCATTTTTCAGATTTATAAATGCATTCGGGGAAGTACAAAGTGTAAAATAATGTTTATAGTTTAGACGGTAAATAAGCTCTGTGAAGCACGACGACATGATATGCATTTCGATGCATTTCGTCGAGCATCTGCAAAACCTGTATGTTCGCCAGAGCAAGGGTACTGGCTGGAGAGCGCTCTCCAGCACCCAAAGCACCGAGAGCAAAATTTCAACCTTGCTCTGGGTGCTTTGGCTGCTGGGAAGTGCTCTCAGCTGCTTTCGGAGAATTAGCCGAAAAAACAGGTTTTGCAGATGAGAATCAAATTTGTTGACGTGATGGAGTTGGTTTCCAAGCGTCGTCGTCATCGTTGTTATTGTTATGGTCCGCCATATCTTGAACTTCCAAACCCTCTTGATCAAAATTCTCGTCTGGAAGTGACGTTTTGGGTTTCTTTGCCTTCACAACTGTCTGCGGAGGAGTTATATTCTTGGCAATGTCGAGAAGGGCTTCTAGGAAACCATCTCGATGCAGGCATCTGATATATTCTACGCAAAACGGTTCGTAATCGTGTGTTCGTTTGATAAAGTCTGACTATGAACATAGTGTGTATCTTCAGAATGCAGTTTAGACCCCCCTGAGCAGTACTCACCCAATCGGTAGCCGCTTTCTGAATCTCATCTTCGACATTCGTTTTCAGTCTAGCCGCCTGTTGGACTGCATTCTCCCACTGTTCAAGAAGCATATCCGGAGGCGATGACAGGATATCTGCGTCTCGAAGTAAACGTCGCGAGCCTGCTTGCAAGAACATGCGTCCTGGAGCATCAGGCAATGTGAATGCATGCTCCGATATTTTAAGCAGCTCTTGATCAACCTATGACACAATTGACTGTGGAAAACTATACACAGTCGTGGAACTTGCCTTAGATTTCCAGCCAGAGTCTGTCTCATCTAGCCTTCTTTCTATGCTACGTCTTTCCCGTCTCCAATACTCCCATTCGTCGTTTGCCTTCTCGTAGCTCCCATCCACAAATGCAAGAAGACTAAAACGGATATTCCCTGCGTCAGCACCCCCACCGTATTTCGCCATTTTCATTCGAATTGCTGGTCGCGCGACGTCCATCCAATCTGTGGTATTGCCCTCCGATGCGAGCTCACCAACTTCCAGAGGCCCAGGCTTGAGTCCATCCAATTCCCAAACTTTACCAAAAGCAGGAACGTAACCAATGAAATGATACACTTCTTCTTCGGTGGTTTCTGAAGAGTCGACAGTTTTGGATTTTGATTTGGAAGGTTTGGATTTACTAGGTGTGGCGGTTTGTTTTTTCTTAGATTGCAGCTCCTTCGCCTTCGCCTTCTGTATATCCAATGTAGTAGTTGCGATAGCATTAAGAGAGCCGCGAAGATCAGCCTGACTATTAGATGTAAAAAGACAAAAGGCGTTCGTCATAATCATCTCTTACCGAGCTAGAGAATTGTGGGCATTACGAATATGTGTGGAATTCGTGACCGCTAGGCCTTTCATCTTACATACCCATCCCAGTAAGCCAAATAATAGATAAACTCGTTCTTACTCACTACAGGCGACATCTCTTTCGTTTCGTCTCTGAATTGTTGTAGAGTAAGACCAAGGTCTACGGTTGGACAGTTAAGGAGGACGTTGAGGATTGCATGTGAAGCACAGGCATCGTCAGATAACTGATTCGCGAACCAGACTTGCTCTGGATTCTCAAATTCCGCTGGTCGATGGACATCTTTTCGCCAGTGGAAACAGAATACGAGGCCGTGAGGTTGCAGGTGGTCAGTTGCCCACGGCTCGATGTCAAACACCTCAACCACCGACAAATTTTTGACACCTAGTTTCCGCGTTAAGGATGTGAATACTCCTGAGACTCTTGTCAGTAATAAGAGCGAGAAATGTATGTCGCCATACCGGGGTCAGATTCAATGACAGAGAAAGGTCCGCCTATGAGGTCCATTGTAGTATACAGGAAGCGCTAGCGACAGCCGCGTCGTTATTGAACCTGTGCTTGATGCGCGACACAATCATAATGTATAAGTATCAAGCAACCGTTGGATTTTTGGTCGAATTCACAACGCTCACATTTTGAATGATGAGCGTTTGCTTATTGGCGCCTTGATATTTCCACGTTGCCGATAATCTTGATACCAGACCATCATGTCTGCCTTCTTCGGGCTGTAATGGGTCTATTCTTTATCCCAGAGGTCTTAATCTGAACTCATTGTCAGTGGCAAGACACGTACATTCAAACCGCGCAAAGATGTTCCCGAAGGAACAAAGCAATACCAACTCCGAAAATATGCTGAAGCAACGCTGGTAGGCTATCTGGAACTCAGACTTGGCTATCTATCTCTCATCCTTGCTTTGCATACTCGCTGGTGTGCCTTTAGGGGTCGGGGAACCTCAGGCTTGCTGTTCAGCTGCCGGACGGTGAAGATTTGAACGAATGGTTGGCAGTACATGGCGAGTTCATGTTTGCCATGCTCTTCGCTTCATTCTCTCAATTTTCGTGGAATTATAGCAGTCGATTTTTTCAATCATTTGAACATGCTGTATGGCACTGTGACCGAATTTTGCACGCGTCAAGAGGTGCGCCTTTTCGAATGTTACATGGGCACACGACGGTCTTACGACTTCCGCATTGGGTTGTAGTGTCCGATAATGTCTGCCGGTCCAAGGTCAGACTGACATTGTCATTCTTAGATCGCGTCCTTACACCGTACAGATACGAATACCTCTGGGAAGACGGGGTGAAGTACAAACGTCCGACCAAATTGCCAGCGCCAGAGTACGTCGATGCTCTTATGAACTGGGCGCAGAACCTCCTTGAGGACGAAGCTGTTTTCCCGAACAAGATAGGTGCGTGGATACTGATAATCAATGAAGTCCCACCGTAGATTATCCCGTTCTAGGAGTGCCATTCCCTAAGAACTTCCGGGATACAGTGCGGACTATTGTCCGGCGACTGTTCCGAGTCTATGCGCACATATACAGTAACCATTTTGACCATATATGTGCGCTAGGCATTGAAGGTCTGTGCTATCCAATGGACTTAGGTTATCGAATGCGTCTCATCGCAGCTTCTTTTAGCGCATCTCAATACCAGTTATAGACACTTTTTCTTATTCATCAATGAGGTGAATGCTTCGTCTTTACAACGCTTCGGAAATTTTGTCTTCTCACTTCTGTTATTAGTTCGATCTTGTCGATAAGAAAGAACTCGCACCTCTGGACGAGTTAAACAACGCTATTCTTGCGGAAGATAAAACGCGATAATTTGTGGAGCAATTGAAATAGGCTATACTCGAGTATACTGTTTTTGTAGGAACACCAAGTATATGTATAATATCTTCAAATCATTCGTGTTGCTTCGCAATCATCGACTGCCAAACAGGCCAGAATATCTATACTCATGAATGGTACAGAATGGATTTGCTACGTGTTGCTTAGGAAACGAGACAAAATTATGGATTAGATAGTGCGCTGCAGGGACATAAGTTCTGTGAGTATGTTGAGGAAACTGAAAGGTACCTTCACAATAGACCAATTTACGACAAGATCTCTGATTCGCTCATTCAGACTTTTCTTGCAAAGTTCGCAGGTCAAATGTTCGGCCAAAGGAGTAAGAGCAGACTCTAAGAAGCCTTTTGATATATCTGAACGGGAAGACAATACACGAGAGTGAGAGAGAGGAAGGGTCATGATCAACGTACCTGGTCGAGCGTCCCATGCAACATAAGCTGACGCTAATGCCCAGGCGCGAGTCAAAGTTCTCTGATCAGCAAAAGCGCAACCGCGAATAGGGGCGTGAGGCGGGGGTGGCTGCAATAGAAGCTGTACAAATAATGTTAAGATTGAGGAATCAAGTGAAATGTGGGAAATATTTAACACACTCTTTTGAGAGCATCTACACGACCCATGTGCAAGAAGAACATTTTGCGTAGGTACTTGGATCCCATCTCTTTCGCCATTTCATCTGTAAGGGTAGGGAGCGAAAACGACAATAGGTGTGGTGAGGCGGACACTGCCAGGTGATGCAGATCATGTTTGGCGGCGAGTGTATAAACGTTTATTGGGAGAAGGGGCGCATGAGAGAGAAGCAGGGTGTATAGTGGGGTATCAATTGCGATATACGTTTCTGGATCCATGCCATACAATGGAAGCTGATTAACTGCAGCAGAAAGTGTCTCAAAAGTGGGTGCATAATGGGCGCAAGACAAACCATAAATAGCATGAAGGATGATGTTCAGAACCTGTGAGGATTCTGGGACGTGAACTGCCGTGTTGGAGAGATCCTCTCGTGATTGGGCAAGAGTAGAAATTGGGACGTCGGGGAGATAGATTGGTAATAATGATCGGAATGAATTTTTGGAGCCACTGAGCATTACTTGCAAGTGAACATAAAATGTTACTGAATCAGAAGACAAAAGTGCGAAGTCAGGTCGAAAATGCTCCCAGCACGCGTCTGGGTGGAATGCAGTCGATATTGAAACCTGCACGTCGTTCAGAACATCGCTTATTGGCGACCCGGGGCTTGAATCCTAGAAACATCCTTTCGTGAGAGATCGGTTAGGGGTGAACACATCATAAAAGTTAACGCACTGGGGGTGTAGGAACTTGTAATTCTATAGTCGAAAATGCACCAAGCCCGTTCTCAGGGAGGTCCAAATCCGTGATGGCGAATTGAAAGATGAAGTCTAAGTCCACAGTGTCCATTTCTCCACTGCTGATTCAGAAAGTAGGGTAAATGTAAATGCGCCAGTCTTTTTACATCGATATCGATTGGGAAACGGGGTTGTCACGACCAGAATTTCCTGGCGGAAGTTTCTTATATACAGTATGAACTGACCTTCATATATAGAACAATACCCTACAATACCGCGTGTGAATACTTTTTGCTCCATGACCAACCATGACCAGCTATGACCAGATGCTTTTTGTCAAGCGTCATAAAATTCCAGGCCTAAATGTTTGGCACTTTTCTGTCCAAGAAAAGTAGTTTGCCGTGTATTGTCAATAAGTTCTAATCAGTAAGAAGGATTTGGATTTACATACGAAGGATCGGGGATCTTTTCAACGTCAACTGACTTTGCCATGGACTCACTGTGAAACCCAGATCACCTTGCTTGCTAGGTCCTTTGCCACCCCGTCTTTACCAAGCGCCCGTGCATTTTTTTCACACGTTAAGCGCTTTCTGATCTGTACGGTTGTGTCTGTACCATACCGCTACCTTTGTAAATAAGCAATTGTTTTTGGTAGTCACTATTGTCTCTACAACACACTCTCTACACCACTCTCATTCAAGTCTGTGTTTACACGTTAATATACTTGTTTCTCCATCTCCAATGACTTCCAGTTTGGGACATAAACTCTTCAATGTTTTACTTAAATGGAGCTTTTGAACAGGTCATCAGCAGTTACATATATTTAATCCAACATCTCCTCCAAGTTGTTTAACAGTTCTTTCTTTTGTTACTCAGTACCAGTCCGTCTCCAAATTTGTTATAAAATGCTTACTGGTTCTTTGTGGACTGCACCTTGCTTGGGAAAGGAGAAATTTCAGTTAAATTGATACTAGAACTGGTATGGCAGGAATCAGGGAATGATGCAGGATTTATGTATGCAAAAAGTGTAGGGTAGTCTAAGTATCATCTGAGTGTCTTTGTCAAGGTGTAGATTTTAGTTCAAGTATCAAGCAAAAAAAACAATGCACATAAGATGCATTACAAAATATACACACTTCAAAAGCCTTGTGGAAATTTGTTTGATTAATCTGAGTATTGGGAAAGAATGCGGTATACATAAGGTGCACTGCAAAGCAAGCACAGAGCTCAGGATGTTTGTAAACATTTGGCAAAAGTATGAGGCCAAGCACAACCAAAACATGCCTGCACAAAACAACTTAACTTCTGGAGTGCAATAGACCTTGCAAGCAAGGTGATATTTCCTTTCCTGATATACAATCATGGCCAAAAATGAAAAACAGAACTGGGCAAGGGCCTAGGGGCAGTCTAGGTAGTTGTTCTCCCTGCACCTTAGTACTAGTCTTACTTACTTGCAGTTAATGAAGACTTCAGACATACTTACTTAGGTTGATGGGACAATGGGAGACTGGTAGCAGTCAACTGCTAATAGGACCCCTGACAACCCACTAAGAGGCCTGATCCCAAAAACTCAAATTTTACTTACATTCTTTGAGGGTCCAAAAGGTGGGTTCATACCCGGGTTTTCATCTGGTTCCATTGCGGGCCCCGTTCTTACCCAGTTTAGCCTCAGGGTATATCCAAAATTTGATTTTTCATCTTTTTTTGCCAGAAAGCTGCCAAATCTATTTTTGTTTGTTTGTTTCTACTGCAGGTGGTTCAATTTTTCCCTTGTTTTATCTATGTTGAAATTATGGACTCATCTAATGGATCTGTCAAGTCCATGCCTCAGTGCCCCATTTCGCTGCTCAGTATTCCGAGATCTACTGTTTATTGTAATCTCTTCCTTATTGTTCTTTCTCGCTACACATACCCTTTCATTCTAGTCTCTCCTTATTGTCTTTTACTCTACCCTGCAGGTACTACACGTATAGCTCCTAGTAGTTAGTCTGGCGCTCTGCACCAATGCGCCGATCTGTAGATATAAATACTGCCTGTATGCTACTGTAGTTCCTCAGTTTAATTATCAACTTAGATTATCCTCTTAACATCCTCGACTTGAGACTTCCTCTGTGTTCTTGTCACTCTCTAGTCTTCAGGCTCATTGCCTTGAAGTACTTCTTACTCTGACCTTAGGACTTATAAGTTCTTTGGTCCACTCCTCGTCATCGGCAATACCGCCGCTCTGACTTGGCTGCTCCTGGCTCCTCTCTTCTCTACTCTCGATCTCTGGGAACTAGCGGTGTAACGGCGGTGTTGTTAATAACTTCACTACTGTCCCATTCGACCTTCCGCCCTTAGACATCTTGTGGCCTCTGGCACAGTTACACAGTGTACATGATCTTAACAGGATCATCATCCATGTAGTTTCCTTTGAGCTCCAGATTCAACTATGATGGTGTTCATGCAAAAAATACATGTAAATACAAGCTGTATAATAACATCTAATACCATGTAAAATATTGTCTATATTGTGTAGTGGTACAGCAAGGGCCAAATAATTTGTTCTCAGTGAGCGCCATGTTTGAGTTTTAATAGCGCTATTTTTACCTGTAGATCAAGCCTCTTTAAAAGGACCATTTTTACCCGATTTTAGCTCTAGGGATAAGCACGAAAAATCGCGATTTTTACCCTCTTTTGGCTCATGATCATGGATTCTGAAAATTCTCTCCTATTCTTACCGCACCTTGTACAGGCCTTTTAGTGGGTTGTCAGGGGTCCTCTGCTAATAAGCCTTAATAAGCCCTATTCATACAGTCGTCGGCTCGTTCCGACGACCATATAGCTTAATTAGCTTAATCTAGCCTAATGTAGCTTGCAGAAACTGATTATTGAATACTAAAGCAATTACAAAAAATCTCAACGTGTGTTATGATTCTATGAAGTCAGCTACAATAGACCCATTATGCGTGTATGAAGGCCTTCAATAGGGTAAAGGAGACTATTGTACAAAATTCTGGAGAGGCAAAAAAACTGCAGATACATCGAGTGATACTGTACAAATCAGGACACCAAGATCGATCCCGAATGGAGGGTATAGAATATCGTTGGTGCGCGTGAATCAAATGCGTGGATGGATGACAGGACGAACACGAGTGGTAATATAGTACACAGTTTGGATCAGGTGTTGAATCAGGTGTTGGAAGGCAAAGCGTCTGTAGACTCTAAAGGTTGAATAGCATATAATAAATGCACGAATGATTTTGGAACAGAGGAAAACGAGGTCGTTGGAAGCTTTGGCGTTTATATTGTACGCTGCGAGAAGGCTATCAAACGGAGTATTATACACGAAGGTACGACTTACCTTCACGACAGACCACTGCACGATGAGATTTTTGATGCGGTCTTTCAGACCTTGTTTGCACAGATCGCAGGATAAATGCTCCACCAGAGGAGTAAGAGCAGCTTCCAGAAAACCTGTTGACACATCTAAGACATGGGATATCAGATGTTGGTTTCAAGGATTGCAAAGGATATTCACCTGGTCGGGCGTCCCAGGCAAGATAAGCTGATGCTAACGCCCAGGCGCGAGTCAAATTCTTCTGATCAGCGAAGTCGCACCAGGGAGTAGGCGCATGGGGATGCGGTGGTTGAAGTAAAATCTGTCCAGATGTCAGCTGAGATAGATTTTGAATTTTCTTACTACGCACTCTCTTCAAGGCATCCGAACGACCAATGTGTAGGAAGAACATCCTACGTAAATACTTAGGTCCTATTGCTTCCGCCGTATCATCTGTAAGTGTAGACAACTGAAAAGACAATAAATGTGAAGAGGTCGGGACAGCCAAGTCGTATAAATCGTATTTGGCGGCAAGTGTGTAGACGTCCAAGGGACAAAGTGGTGCATGAGAAAGAAGCAAAGCGTGTATGGGAGTGCTAGGCGTGATACATGACTTTGGGTCAATGCCGTACGATGGCAGCCGATGTACGGCGTCGGACAGCGTCTCGAACGAAGGAGAATAGTGGCTGCAAGATATATTGTATATGATGTGGAGTATTATGTTCAGGACCGGAGAAAGTTCTGGTACGTGTATGACCATATTAGAGGACTGCTCCTTGGAAGATGACGTCGGGAGTAAAGAGAGGAAGTTATTGTCTGACGCAGCAAGAATGATGTGAGAATGAACGTAAAAGAATACTGAATCGGTGGACAAGAGTGCGAGGTCGGGAGGAAGAGAGTGTAAGTTTGCCCCCGGATAAAACGTAGTCGAGATCGAGACGAGGACGTTGTTATCAGAAGGATCATCGCATATCGGCGAACCGCCGTCAGTAGAATGCTGTAGATGAAACGGTAATATTAGACGTAGAATAAGGAGCAATAATTCTGAACAAACCGGAGGAGTCGGCACCTGCAGATTTGGCGTAGAGGATGTGCTTTGTTCGGGAAAATCGTCATTTTGCAAGCCGAACTCCATGTTGGCACCAGATGAAAACTGTAGAACTGAATCCCAGTTGGTAATGTCCATTGTGGAGTACGAAGCGTACGACAGAAATATACTGATTCCTTCTCTGGGAATAAGCGAAGCAATTAGATCAAGATAAAAAAATAAAAGTATGACAAACATTCAAGGGTGAACGAAGAGAAAGGTGATGGGGCTCTGAGAGCTTTGCTTGGAGCAGAGCCACAGAGGCGCGTAATGTACATAAGCTGGGAAACGATCACGTCACATGGTTTCGTTTCAGTGGAAAACGTTTTCATGAACTATTTGACAGTGGCTCCGCGTATTCAAAAATGATGTCAGTTGAGCAGAACGAAAGGAAAGAATAGTACTCAAACAATTGAAGCCTACAACACAACGCGAAGTTTTCGAACTTGCATGCCTTGCTAATCATAATGTGCTCTAATGTGCCTTGCCGAGCCGTGACAAATCACTCGCGTACCCTGCGCGTGCCTTTCCAATTTTATTTTATTTTTTCGTTCATTTCGTAACATCTGCAGAGCATTCCTCCCTCAATAATGTACATAATTAAGGTTGTAGAAAATTTTACTGTAATATATGCTCAGGATGTGAAAATCTATCTTTGTGACCAAGTTGTACATCTTAGAAATATCATCGAAAAGATTTAGTTATTCCAGATAGTACATATGTAGTGGATGTCTGTAATGGTTAACTACAGAATGATTGCAGCGAAGAGTCACCCAGTACTTCGCATGTTTCTTTCTGAAGTAGAGGACACACGCACATAAATCAGCACCCATTTCCCTTCCTCCTTCCTCAAGGTTCGAAAAGTTAAAAGAATCAGGCTTCATACACCGTGCATCCTCACAGCTTGCGAGAAAAAGAAAATCTTCACTCCCGTTTCATTTTTGTATTCAAAGCGTCCAGAACAAGGCGTTCATTTATTTGGTCCGTTTTTCGATGAAATATTCGAAGGCAAAAGATGTACACGGAAACGAAGGCGCCTGGGCACTACGAGAGAGCACCGGCAGCACTAATGTGATAGCTTGATCGACAGGTCACAAAGATCTTCATGACTAGCTTACCCTGCCACCTGCGTGCCACTGTCCTCTAGGTTTGCGTTTTGAGCCGATTAATTCTTTCCCGTTTTTCGAAATTAGAGTCGTGAAGTTCCTATCCGGTATGATTAACACTCTCAGTTTTGGCAAACAGGGCCGATGTAGCACTTACCATGTTGGCTAGGCGCTTGGCTGTTGATACAGCGTTCAACTTCTCGAGAATCTTACTTTCTGAAAGAATTAGTTCTTCTAATTTTACACCTGAGGAAGAGTGGTCAAGTTTGGTGCGACGATGAGTACAGGAGACGAACCTATGCGGTCTTCGATCTTGAGGACCCGGTCTTCATCTCTTTCTGTGACGAAGCTAACGGCTATACCCCCTTTGCCGGCTCGAGCAGTTCGCCCCACTCGATGTATATATTCTTCTGGCTCTTCGGGTAGGTCCCAATTAATGACAATGGCAACATCTTCAATATCAAGACCCCGCGCTCCAACGTCGGTTGAGATCAACACGGGTACGATCGAAGACCGGAATAATGATAACGAAGAAAGCCGTTCCCGTTGTGTAAGTCGAGAATGTAACGCCGTACTCCGTATTGATAGTGTCTTGAGTAGTAGCGTCAAGTACGCCGCTGTTCGTGGGCGAGCGCAAAAGATGATTGTTGGAGGTGGCTGCTCTGGAGCTTCGTCCTCAACAGATTGGCTCCGCTTGGATTTGTTTTGCTTCTTTGTACCAGTGGGTCCAGAAGGAGCGCGACGCAAGTGGAGGGTACTTTCCGGAGGATTGCAAAGGAAATGGAAAAGATACGACTCGCGGACGTGAGATGGCACTAAGATATAGGATTGCTTGAGAGTCGCAACAGTGTCTATTCTGTTTTAAAAAATTGAATGAGTTATAATTCTCGATCGGTAAGGAACATACTTTTGCGTCATCCGATGGATGAATGGCTTCTGTTTGCCAGGTCTGGGGGCTGTATTCGCTACATTTTCGATTGATGTAGTCAACGTAGCCGTGAAAAGACAGGTCTGGCGATCCTTCGGAAGAGCATTGAACAGGTAAGACAGTTCTGGAACAAAGCTGGAAGACAGTAAACGATCAGCTTCATCGAGTACCTAAAATCTGTTGAGCATTGGGTGCCAAATGTAGAGTATCCTTGCCTACAAGAAATTTGACCCTAGATAAGGTCCACTCTCCGCTACCGCTTTTTAGATGGTCAACCAGGCGCCCGGGTGTAGCAATAACTATATGCGGCCGATTGCCCAATTCAAGAGCTTGGCTCATCATGTCCATGCCTCCTACTATCACTGCTGTGCGTACGTTCATCGAATTTCCGAGTATAACAAATTGTTCAGATATTTGAAAAGCAAGTTCCCTGGAATTATTTAGTAAGCAACGATGGAGGCGACCAAAATGTAATATACCTTGTAGGGGTCAGAACCAGCGCAAATATACCGAATGGGTCAATCGATAACTTTTGAATAATGGGAAGAGCGAAGGCCAAGGTCTTCCCAGAACCAGTCTTTGCGTTTCCGATGCAATCCCTACCTAGAAATTGTAGTCAACGATACGAGCGGTTCGAATAGCAGCAGCAACACACCTGCTAGTAGTGGAGGTATACAGGCCGCCTGGATCTCCGTAGGCGTGTGTATGGACATGACTTTCAGGGCATTCTGAATTGCTAGCGACACTCCAAGTTCCGAGAACGAGGTTGAACGTGGTGGTGCCGCTTTAGGTAGTTTACTCCCGACCTCTATTCGTTGTGGTATTCGAAGGCGATCTATACTTATCCTCTCTGACATCCGCGAGTTAGAGATATTGTCGCCAGAATCACTAGCTTCATCTGAAAAGTCGCTGTCGTCTTCTTGCCCATTCAGTTCGAGAGGAGAACGCACAGGACCAGAGGAGCTGGCAGGAGCATCTGCTGGACTACCATCCTCCTCTCTTCTGTCGCGATCATTGAACCTTAATCTCTTGAGCTGAGATTGTTCTTGTCGACGTAGAAGGTCATCAGAAGTCAGGTCTTTCCGTTTCACCATGACGGCCAAAAAAAACAAAAAGTACATAGATCGTTACGTGATCAAACTAAATTACAAATTGATTTGGTACTTTTTGATTCAAAATTCATCTTCGTGAACTAACAGCGAATAGCCAGGCTAATTGGTGCTTGGACTCCCTATGTATGCGACCGCGGGCTACACATTCAAGTTTTCGCGTAGCGCGAACCATGGCTGTTCCTCTATGCTAGTCCAAGTGGCGAAAAAATCCGCGGGAATTTTTCCCCGGTAGCCCGACTTTTTCACATGAGCGCGACTTGTTCATGGTGCGCCCGACTTTTTCTTGTCAGCGCAAATTCTTTTTGTTCAGCACAAAAGAACAATTTGCCACAGAAAATGTAATTTAGACTCCAAGAAGTAGCGTAAAAAATAGTCCCCCGTTGAAAACGTGGGTAGCTTTGTTGAAAACTAAACCTCTCCATGATATATAACTTACGACTGTAAGCTGAATATTTCAAGCCTAAGTAACATTTTCTGTACATTGAATACTATTAAGCTCATTGTAATGAGTCAGGAATGTACTGTATATAAGCCGGTAGGTTCGATAATGCTAGAAGAGAAAGTGCAATAAAGAGTGACTTGGAGATAGAATCCTTTGTCCGGAATCGCTAGCGCTAACAAGGGTATAAGGGATTGTGAGGGAGTAAGTAGTAAAGCAAGCAATCAGATGAGAACATTCAAAGCCTAAGTCCAGTTGTCCCAACTATCCTCTTCCTCGTCATCATCATCCTCGTCAACTCTGTCCTTACCAGCATCTTGCTCTGAGGATGCAGTCGAGGAGCCAGAACTAGAACTGGAACGTCTAGACTTATCTTTGAGGCTCACTACGTAACTTATAAGTTCCCTTGTCTCACTCTTCCCAGAATCAAATAATTTTACCTTCAACTTTCTTAAAGCCTGGGCTGTCCTCACCCTCATCACCTTCATCACCCTCGTCACCTCTGTCTTCAATTCCAGGGTCTTTCAGGTCACCTGAACAGAAATATATTTAGAGATAGTAAACACCAAAACTGAAGTGAACTGTACCGTGATCATTTACTCCTTCTGAAGATTCTTCTTCATCCTCAGAGTCTGTGAATCTAACCTTGGCACTATTTTCATCCAGGTCAGAAATCTCTATGTACTCCTTAGCTAGAGAAGCTAAACAGGTAAGAAAAGTTCGTGTAATATTCCTAACAATACAACTCACTTTTGGGCCTTTTACTGTTTCTTTCCTCCAAAGCCTCATCATCAACTGAACTACGCTTTCTCTTGAGCTTTTGAGTTGATGAAAGAGCTGCAGGTGATTCAGGCTCCAACTCATTTGAAGATTCTGACGATCCAGAGTCAGAAGCTAGGAAAAATAAAGCCTTTCCCTTCCCTTTCCTATCTTTCTTAGCGGTCTCATCTTGAGCTTTCAATCTCTCCAGAGCTACTACCGGATCTATGGCTTGCTCTCGGGAAAAAATTGTAGCAGTGCGCCACAACCTTTGAGTGGAGGTTGGAATAGTCTCCAGTGTTGCTACGACAGAAATTGAGACTAGGTGGATACTCTATCCAGGAAAATAGGTACCTACCCAAGAAGAGGATCCTGTCGTGAAGGCCGGTCTTTTTACTTTTGAAGCAAAGCTCAAATAGATCACGTCCATTTGGGAACAAAAGCTGGTTCCCGACATGCTCCAGACTCCTCCCCTCCTTGACAAAAAATAGAAGAGTTGGCAGAAACTTGTGTTCATCGTTTCTATAGATAGTGGGATGGAAAGGATTGGCTGTCACAGAATTGTCGTCGTCCAGGTGCTCCATGAGTAACGGAAGAGCCTGCCAAAGGTGGGTTATAATATCATCAAATGACATAGACTTCTTGAATGTAAGGCTTGGGTCGTTAAACCTTTGAGATTGGGCACCTAGGCCTGATTGAACCAGCTCGTTATAGAAACGGGGACTCATTTTCAAGCCAGAAGAACCTCCTTTGAGCGCAAAACATTGATCATCAAGAGCTAGCTTATTCGAATTTCTCTGTACAACAAATGACTAAATAAACAGTTTAAGAGTAATTGGGACTTACGGTTAACTGAACGCCCACGGGAATAACGTACAAAGCCCCCACTTGAAATGTATTTTCATTCTCGTCATCTTCCTATGAGGGTAAAGGTAAGAATAGCAACCAAAGTAAAAAGAAGGGTAAATATTACTTCTTTAGCTTTAGCCTGTGTGTTTCTTCTATTCTTTAAACCGTCAGAAGCCTCTTGAGCACTTTCCAGCATTGATTTGATTACAACGCTGTTAGGCCGGACAGATCGTTGTATGTCTGTAGCAGCGTTCAAGATTCTTTCAGTTTTTGAGCTGTTGCGCTCAGCCTTGGCGGGCTGAGAGATCTGGGAAGGAGGAGGTGGCTGCAAATGAGAGGGAAGGGGCTCCGAGCGTTGAGAAGGTTTAGAAGAACGGGATAAATTAGAAGCATGAGAGGAACGGGAGGAACGGGAAGAACGAGTGTAAATAGACTTTTGAAGTTTCTGTTTCGCAGTAACCTTTTTTGTCCGGTCTGCTAAGGTGCTCATAGTGGATAGAAATTGAGCCTACTTTCCAACTTCTAGCGATTTGTTGATTTGTGCGTGACACAAGTGGGCGGCAACTTAAGCGCCAACCTCCTTCCTCCAAAAGGAAACCTTTCGCGACTGCGTAAGTAGGATTAAGTAGCGGAAAACAGTAAGTGATTCATAATATGTAAATACTGTCCCCACTGTATAGCCCTAGGCATCCAGATAGAATGAGGAAGATCAATACAAAGCTCTTTTCTACCGCGCTTGCCAGTTTTGATAAATTCAAAAGCAGGATACTCGCCATTTTCCCATTCTTCTGCCCTCAGATGATAATTGGCAGGTATTACATTACTGCGATCAAACTCTTCAATAGCTTCACAAAATAGCTGCAACTTTTCTGGTTGGTGCGTGAAAGGTGATTGGTGTTTTGGGGTGGGAACTGGACAGTGTCGGTAATGAGTGGCCTGCTCTTGACGTATCTGTTCAATTACAGATATTTCCGCTTCTTTACCTGCTCCAGAGGAAGCCGGGGGGTTGTATCGTCCATGTTTCAGCTCTCTGTAAAAGCGTAAATCCTAGTAACCTAAGTTTGAGTAGGTGAAAGTGGAAGGTTATAATTTACTGACGTTGGGAGTTTGGTAGTGCCTGTGACCAGAAATTGGGTGAGAGTTCCAAGTACTGACAAACTTCTGACAGTCTTCATTGATTAGAGGTAGGAAAAGGGTTTGAAGAAGCCATATATGAGTAGGATCTTCTCTTTTGAGACCGTGAAGGCGCTCAAGACGTAAAAAGAAAGCTTTCCACTGACGAGCGAACTGGGAACCTACTTCAGGCCAAAGTCGCTCTATTTTGGTATTATGTGTAGAAGATCCCCACATAGCGCTAGCCCTGTTTGGCCCTCGAAGAAATACCATAAGTGTGGCGACTTCAATATTCTCTCCTCCCCTATCTAGTCTGACCTGCGAGGGAACTCCATATTTCTTAGCTGCTTCTGTGAAGAGATTCAAAACAGTGCTAGCCTTATTGTTCGAACTAGCTTGCAAGCCTACAACCTGAAGGTAGAGAGCGTAAAGGAGGAACAATAAAAGAACAGAAAACTACACATACCGTTCGGCTATAACCATCTACTATGCCATGTATAACTATACCCCAGAAAATAAGCTTATGGTGACCATCCAGATGCCATAACGCATGAGGTCGGGGAACTTTACAAAGTCCACGTGAAATCGTAAGTCTTCGTCAGAGCCGTGAGCCCAGGCGATCCACTCTTTTCAGGGAGTCCTTGACCCGCTGACGCTGAAGCCTATAACCTTTTTGTCGTAGGAAGCCCATAACATATCCAAGACCAGATGCAGGGTTTGTTTCCTTGAAACGTTTGGTTAATTTGTCCAAGTCTGCGTTAGTTATAGGGCAGAATCTATAGTCAATGCCGTTCTCCTTCAGACGGGTGCGGAGTGTCTGTCTATGGATACCAAGACAACTTGCTAGCTTGGTAAGAGTAACCCTCCTTGCGCCGTTAGTAGCCTCCTGTAGAAGTCTAGGAGCAATCAATTTCCTGGGCCTGCCCCGTCTTCCTGTTTTGGCCAAGAATACTGGTTCTGAATAAGATACACTAGTTTGCTCCCTGCCAGAAGGTATTAGAACTTGACCTTGACAAACGCAGAAAAATCTAATTTACCGCCCGAAAGCAGCCTCTTCCGCTTCTGCCAGTCGTCTCAACAGTTTTCCAAACTGTTGGCTGACACCCTTAATCCAGTCTAAAGACAGCCCCTCTTCATCTGCGCAGTTCTCCATATCTAGCAAGAGGGGAATAGCTTCTTGATGAATCGCATTTTTGTGAAAAATACTGCGGTGTGCATCTAAGCTGCTTGCAGAAAGTGAGGTGGAAGCTGGAGAATAAAGGTGTTCCAGAAGAGAGGCGGCATGATACACCTGAGGAGAATAAGGAAGTTCTCGATGAGGTAGCGGATTCAGCTTCATAGGAGTTGACAATAGAATTGGGCGTCTAACAATCCCTGGCTAAATTGAATCTGGGTAAAAAGTGTATTTATTTATTACAATACGAAATCGTTGTGAACCCAG